ACATTAATTAAAACCACAAGATTTATTTCACTTTCAATGTTATAAAGTATATAATGATAGTAAACATCTCAAGTTGAATGACAACCGACAACATGTAGTTTTTTTTAATGATATGCAACGATATATCGCGCAATGAATGACGCAATTCCAATGTTCTACTTTTACGTAAATGTCTTTTGTCATTTGATATCTTTTTGTCTGAATCTGAATCTTAATTTAAAAAAGTATCGTCTTGTTTTTGTTCCATGCGTGATAACGCCGAAAAAACGTCATTTCATACATCGACTTAAAATAGAAGGATGCTGTAGATTGAAGTCGATTGTATTAAAAAACATGATGTAAATATGCATATTCCCTCTGTGATTAACATTTGATGTGCTCCAAAAGCATCATTTGGCTTTTAAGCATTGAGCAGAAATAGCTTTAGGTTAAGCTTTTCAATATGCTTTTTTGAAAGTTTTTCGCTTTTTCATTTTGTAAGTCACACAAACATTTGCTCTAACGAAAACGCCTGTCATTATGCAAGGGAAAAACGACTCTTGCTCATCATTCATGAAATGTAATAGTCATCATTACATCAGAAAGTGATGGCATTTTGAAGAATTGAGCGATTAGAAATTACGGTAATTGGGTAGCCAGTGTCGGCTATAAGTAAGGTCGTAGCAAGCATCGTAATTCGCCATATCATAGATGACACTATCAATAAGCGACCTTCATTTAATAGACATCCAGTGGGCATGCACATCAAATACAACATTTATTTCGAAGATGTGTTTGATTTTATGTAAATGATCCGGAGTCTCCGAGCGAAACGGTAATCATTGAGATGCATCCAAAAAGCGGATGATAATTGCGATTGTGTTCAAGCTCGTGTGTTTTTTTATTACTTGAATAACTGAAAATGGTTTTATTTTCACCCAAAAAATACCAACAACTATTATTTTTGAATGATGGTCTTAACATTCGAACAAACCCATTATTTTTTGCAATAAAAACAGATGTAAGTTATATTTATACAATCAATAATGTGTGTGTGTGTGTTGATATTTTGGGGCGAATTGTGACCGTGTCGTAATTGTTTCTCATATCGACAAACAGTGTTAACCCATTCGATCTGACCGCGATCTCATTGCACACCGGTACTTTGTATTACGTGTTTTTTTTTTGTTTTATTAGCTGCTTTTTCTTTTTAGATTTGAATCGACCACTGAATTGAGAGAAGAGCGAGAAGAAAAAAACCAGTAACAAACAATTCGTACACTATGTATGAGTGTACAACAATAAAGTTTCAGTAGCAATAGAGCAGCATTCCATTGTATTCGAAAGCCGAGTTCATTTGCTTGGCTTTTGTTTGTTTCAAACGAGAGTTTTGAACAATGAATGGGCAGTGAATGCGAGCACGAGAGACGAGACTTGCTTTTGAATATGCGCGAACGATGAAGTTTTAAATATTGAGCTGCATCAAAGTGTTAACGCGTCTGTTTACTTTTACTTTTACTTGCAAGTCATGCAGTTGGCAGAATATCACATTCTCATTTTCAATTTCATTTTAAATTTGGTTTTCAGCATGGTTTTATCGCTTGTCGTTTCTCACTCTTACTTTATCATACATTTCAAAAGAGTAACATTCTCTTCACGGATCGATCACTTCTTTATTGGGTTAAGGTTATCTATATGTCTTTCTTCTCGGTCACTTTTATCACTGATGTAATAAGCATTCCAAAACCGAAAATTATTTTCTGTGTTTCATTGGAAAGAAAATGGCATGGCATGGTACTGGTTAATTTTCTCATGCGATTCCAAATTTTATTACCGCATCGTTCGATTAATTACCAAAGATTGCTGTCGAGATTCAACCTCGTTTTGAGACCGTTGCTATGGCGCAAAATGACACGAACAACTCCGTTGACATTTTGATGAAACTGATTAAGATGAGACTTTCATGTGACTTCCTTATGGGTTTGACTGTGACAATCATTGCATTCAGGCTCAAACGATTATAACGTACAACGTAAATAGTCTTCTCTATTCTTTAGCGTTCGTTTCATTTTTCTCTGTTTAATTCATGCACTTTTTTTTATTTTCAACCACAATGTTAAGTCTAAATACACTAATTTAATTACAACTAACTGATAATGTCGACAATACCTGTGACAAACGGGAAAAAAGTGTAAAATTTTAAACGATTTTCATCATCATGCACTATAACATGTGATAAGCGGCTAATGCCATTTCCCATCTATTTGCTCATTTTATTTAACATTCGCATCGTTTGCTCTGATCACACCAAAGATACACATAAATATAAATGCCGTCCGGCGTTTTATAAACGCTTACATTAGAAGATAAAATGTATTACATCGTTGTGTATCGTTGAGTTTGATTGGCCAATGGATACAAACAAATAATAATTATGCAGCATTTAATCAATAACGACGATAACAGGACCACAGTGGGCCTTATAATAATTAGTTTTAAGTGTGTCTGTGAGACGGTGTCAACAGCATATTTTCATATCAACAATACGATCAGACAACAGCACACACATACACACACTGTCTTTGATCCGTTTAAGCTAAGACATTTGGACAGACGTTGGGCGTTAGCAAAGCAGCCTTGCAACTAAATTAGCCAACACAAAATCCAGTACATATAATTAAATCCACTAGTATTGTCACTTTCACTATGAATCGCAACAGCACTCACACACCATCACCACCGTCCGCGTTCATTTGATTTTTATATTGAATTGCCACACTTTGCAATTGCTTTTGATTGCTCGCTTAAGGGATGTGATTTCTTTTAAATGCACACTTTTTAATCAACCGAGCGTTTTGTAAGTACCAAAAGCAAACAAATGCTGTTTTAAAGAAAATACACACAGAGAGAGCAAAAATCCATAAATAAAGTTGGTAATTTCATTGTAATTTTACTAATGAATAATACTAAGTCTTTTTATTTACTCTCTGAAGGAAATAGACTCAATGGCAAATTGATTTGTGGCCAGTGGCCAACGGTGATGCCATGAACTCGTATGGAATGAATGCAGTCGAATGTGTTTGAGGAAAGAAGATAAAACATTGAAATTAAATGTCATGGTATACTGTGAACATGTTAATTATTGAGCTTTTGAGGTAACCAATGACAAGATGCTACTGCACGCACTTTCAACATATCTCTCAGCCAAACCCAAAAACAATGTTGAGTTATTATCGACAGCATTAAAAAAATATTATGAACATCAATTTTTATGATTATCTTTTTATAAGAAAAAACATAATATTTTTACACAGAGATGCACACACACACATACACACTTTCAACACCACCGATATGATCATAGACGGTGAAGATGATCATAGATTTTGTTATTAAATATTTATTGCACTTTGTTCATGAACAATTTCGCACACATGAAACGGCGGGCTATTTACCCAGGAAATGGCTTTAATGTTTGACTATATCTTGTTAGCCGGCATGGTATGCTTGCAATGATAGTAATCCAAAGAATTGTTTACATTTTGTATCAAATTAAATGCCATATTAATTGATTAATTCTTTGCCGGAATGGATCGATTAAACTTTACGTGTGCGTAAAATGTGTTGCTGCAAATTGAGATGGGAGCAAATGAAGGAGAGAAAACTGAAAATCGAAAAGTTTGCATAATTGAGATTCCACCAAATATTTCTGTGGTCATCATAACGCCAACATTATGATAAACACTTTGCGTGCATCAAATCAAATGCACGTGCACCATGCACACATCATACACACTTTTCGTTCACACGAAACTGAATATCGTAATCTTACATAAACTTCAGCCGAGCACACACAGATTGCGGATTGAATTGGATTCGAGAGACTAGTCTCTGGACACAAAGGTTGGTAACGGAAAAATTGCATCATAATAATGTGCGTAACAATCTCCTTCTCGCTTTCTCTCCCTATGTGAATGTTTTTTTCCTGCCACTTTTGTTAATCACATTACATTTGGGCTGGTAATAAATCTGGAATGTTTTCTTTTTTTCATGCATTTTAATTGTTGCATGATGCGAATAAAGGCTTTAATTACCATCAACTTCAAATGTTTACATTTGTCCGCCTTCATGAGATTTATACTATATATGTGATGGGCGCATTGCATTCAGCAGAATACTTTTACAGTAAAAGTTTTACTATTGCTCGAATACCGATCGAGCGCACGCGGTCGCACACTAGTCTAATACTGTTTTGATCGTTTTCACTGCTTCAAACTATATATGGTATTGCTGGCAAAGGAAAAGAAAACGATTATGAAACCAACTGATGTTTATTTGTCAAATGTCGAGAAATTCTGGAAACACGAATAAGATTATATAACAAATCATTTACCGATATTGTGAATTTTCGCTGTTTATTTATTTTTTTTTTTTTTTTTGCAATAAAACGGCAGCACAACAGAATTCGAAAAATTGTGATTATAATTATGAGATGGTAAAAGTAATTCGGCAAATAAACAACTGGCTGATTTTGTAATATTCACCATTCATCGAACATCAAGAATGAATTCCAAATTTAAAGAGGTGAACTTGTTTTTTACCATTTTGTTCAAATTTATGCGCAATCGATCCCATTTTTAGAGACAGTTTCAATAATGTTTGTAACGTGCATTACAATCGAAATGCAGTAAGTGTGGCGACGGCGGCGGCAGCAGACACAACCACAACGGCCCTGCTCCTTGCACTTGCTTATGTAGATAAATCAGAGCAACCAGCTCAATACAATTCCATCGTTACCATGCTATTACCGTAAACATACACATTTGCACGATGCTAAACTGCAGCACTGTGCACGCATTTACTGTGTAATGCAGTTTTTTGTTGTTGCTATGTTTTGGAGTGATCTCTTTTTTTTGCTTTATTTTCGTTTTTGTTTACGTAGAAAAAAATTTCCTTTGAATGATTGTATATAAATAAGACCATCCAGTTTAGTTTGCGTTCATATCAATTCTGCAAAGCTTTTCGACTTGTTCGTTTTATTTCGATTAAATCGGTGCAATTACAACGGCATTAGTGCCTTCGGTGTATATATCTTGTTCATAAATTTTCTTATAAGAATTTTAAGGAAAATTTTTTGTTTGAAGATTTTCATTTTAAAGTTCACTATTTGGTAACTAACGGTTTTTTTTTTTTCGTTGGAGAAACTTATTTACGCAAACACAAAAATGTTCTCAAATAGCCCAGTAAGTGAATATAATGTGATCTTAAGAATTTTTTTTTTAATGTTTGTTAGTGGAATGTTAAAATATAATGACCAAAAATTATAGAAACAAAGTTATTAAGCTGTGTCAAATAAAAAAACACACAAATAGATCAAGTAACTCTTGTTACTTTGCGGAATAATAAAAAATGCAGTGCAAGTGAAGCTTTGACAAACCAAGCGAAATATCAAATCACACTTGTGTCACAAAGTGAAGACTGACTTAATGATTTCTTTCAACTTGAAAAGTTTTTTTTGGTCACTGAGCACATTTTTTGTGTAAAAAAAAAGTTGGCCGAGTAGAATCGAACTCCTTTAATTCAAACAAAATCGATCGGAATGGAAAGAATATTTGAATTAACGAAATTTCTTACTATCGGAGTTCCTCTAGTTAGTCATTTTATGTGCACGATTCTGTATTGTATTCCATTTAAAAACGAGTGTGCAAATTCAAAGTGTTTAAAACGCTTTAATTAACCTAGAATCAAGTGATTTGAATAAATTGTACTGCTTAAAACATCAAAGTGATTTGTACCTTCTTCTCACTTTGTCTGTTCCACTTACAATTGAATTGTTCGTTGCGGCGAAAAAAATGATATTATACAATAAATAAACTTTATGTTGTAGTATTATTTGGAACAAAATCAGAGCTTTTTTTCGCCGCAACGATTTAATGATTATTACTATTAGTTTATTGGCACATCCGATCGTCTCATCATTGATGATAATCATAGTTTCCTCAGTTTTATGATCTGATATGTATTAGTTCAAGGGCACTCTTCTAGATCATAGTTTACAATGCCATTGATGATGAGACTGATTTATTCAAAACTTCATTATTTTTTTTTACCATTCTTACTAAAAAGATATACCTTATGATTCTTCTAATTTCAGATAATGAAACTTATCGTTTTGCTTTTCTTCATCGCTGCGACTACCGCATCACCGATTTTCTTTGGCCATCAAAAGCAGTAAGTTCGATTAATCTGTCTCCCATAGATAAATCAATCAATTAATTTACATCAATAAGTGTCCAATAACTTGATCTAAACAATTTGATTTGTTCGAACATTATTAATTTTTTTTCTCTGGTGTATCGTGAATGGCGTTAGAACGCAAATTTTCATAACTCCACGAAAGGATACTGTATCGAAGACGGTCAATCAAATTCCAGCAACAGTGGTCAAAAAAAGACCAGCTGCTGTCAATTTGAGTGTTCCAGTACCAATACATGTCCAATTGCCCGTTCAATTGCATTTACCACAATTTGCAAAACCAAGTACGCCACAAGAAATGAACAAACTTTTTACCGAAATGAAAAATAGCAAAAAACCATTTATGACTGTATCAATGAAAGGACCACCAAAAGCGTCATCATTATTCCCAGATCCATTCAATCTATTTAATGATGACAACAGGTATTTTTGTGTTCATCGTTACAATGCACATGTACAGAGAGCGTAAGCCTGCAATAAAACAATAAACACACATGCACACGAAATTAAAAAAAAAACGAACAAAAGAATATCGACCCCGAATCGATAGAAAAACACAAAAAAAAAAGAATTTCACTTTTGTGATGTTTTTTATGCACTGAATGCATACCAAGCCAGTGGAGCATCTCCGTTTGTTCACTCTAATCAATCACTTATACATGCATACATTCCTATTCAAAAATTTGTGTGAACATGTACATCTCCTAATTGATGCACCAACCAATCGCCAATCGGCATTTCAAGTACTCACCGTATTTATGTTTATTTTTGTTTTTGAATAATTTCTTCTTTAGCATTAATTTCACTCTCAAACCGATCAATCACTATACTGATCGACGATAAACCCGATAAACCGTATACAACACAGTCAAAGAAATATGCACACAAAACAATGAACAGATCATTAGAAGAAAAAAAACGGATCGGTTTTCAACTACTAATTTACTACATATTCAATTTGACTGCTGCAAAAATTATAATAGATACAAAATAAAATTCGCGTAAGTCGCTTGAGATGAAGATGAAAGAGATGTTTACACCACAATTGAATCGTTTATCGATGTTACGTTGAATATTACGTTCGTTTTGGGTGGAGATAGATCGCGTGTCTGGACACGCATGTTTAACTACATAAATTATTCATTTTCGGTGTGATGTGTGTGCGTATTAGATAGTTTGTGGTTTGCGGCTAATTTCCATTCTAATTTATCGGACATCGGAGCAATATCGTTCCAACGCTATGAATGGCATACGTATGTAAATCGTGCCAATGGATCAATTCTCGAATTGATTTTGAAGACAGACTCTCGTTTAATTTATTCATTTTTTTTTTCATTCAAATAACTTCTAGCTAATTATCTCGTAATAAAGTAATAAAAGCAAATAAATTGGTTGCAATTGATTTGAAAATAACATGGTATTTTCATTAAATACATATGATTATATCGTATTTGGTGCGTTTTACATAATATTGCCAATTGATTGTGAAAAAAAAGTGAAATTGCAATAAGAGATGAGAAATGAGCGAATGCTTCACATTGGGTTGTGCGAGCGCGCGCGCACACACACACACAAATTTACGATCACTTTATTTTCTTGTATCGATCACCATAGCAAAAATTCCCATCGCATACTTAACATCGTTGCATTCGTTTTGTCCACATCGCATTTATTCCACTAAATACCTTTACGTTCAGTTTGTTCAATTAATTTTCCAACGGATTATGTTTGTCGATCACATCATTTCCACGCGATTACATTTAATGGCCATATTTAATAACTAAAGATGAAATAAATGTAATAAAAGTCCGTCATAAGTTTGTTTGATTTGTATAGGTATACGTCGTATCAATATGTAATATTTTATTATTTTATCAATGGCATTTGTTTCGGTCTTATGATGAAGTAATACCGTATCTTTTTCTCTCTCTCTCTCTCTCTCTCTTTAATCTTTATATGATATTGCCTTGTCGATTTAGGAAGTGAAGCTGATGACTTGTGAAAGGGAGAAAATCGTTTATCACTTTTTTATATAAATTATTATTAAGAACTTAAAGTTGGAGTCACTCATCGGCTTACATTTTTTCTCACTTTTATCGCTCATTCTCTTGTTTAGGTAGTATTTTTCATCTGCCGATTTATTATGTAATCAAAAATCCTTTCATTTATAAGCCTTTTCATGTTGTTTAACCAACATATGATATTTTATTGCATTTCTGGTTGATTGGTTGAAAAAACAAAACAAATATGTGTCGTCAGCTGGTATGATGGCATGGTGAATGTCGTATGAGCCATCTTACAGTGTCTCAATTATTTTGGCCCACATTTATTTTCACGCCATTTTACGATGCCAATCAAGTGTCATTCGCATATAATACCTAATCTTGTTTGTTTCATTTTTTCGTGTCACAACGATAACCAATCTGCAGACATTCAATCGTTTTTTACGATCTTAGGAATGGAATTTGTAATTGCAAAATTCTTTTATTCAACTAATTTTCCATGTGGATTAACAACTATCTCTTTGTGTCAGTGCGCGCGCGAGAGCGCATCTGATATTCAATCGCGTCTTCAATTTGAATCACCATATGCGTAGATATGTGCTTAATAAATGTGTCAGCATTTGAATTTATTTGCTACAATAATTACGTGACTTTGTGCCACATCTTCGGCGAATGCGACATGCACTTTCAACACATGGCAAAACAAATAATATTAAAAGCTCTTCGTGGCAATATTTTTTCACTTCATTTGTGTGCATGTACGCGAATGATTTGTGCACCATTTTGGTAATTATGTGCTAGATCTGTGGTATATTTAATGTTTTTTTTTTTATATACTGACAACAACAACAACAAAAAATCGACTTTTATTTCGTGAGCATCATCAACGAGAAAGAGAAGCAACTCAGTGGTGTGTGCGTGTGCGTACTCAAAAATGATGATGGTTAAACTTTTGATGGATGGATAATGCGAAAATTATACAGAAATTATAAATAATTATGTAATGATCGATCGATTTGACGACGCCACGTTTTGTATATGTACACTTTTTGTAGTATGCTATTGCTCAAAGTTTTCAATGAAAAGTTTCCTATTCAAGTCATTTATAATAGCTGTATAACGGTTTTATTGTGCAAATATTATTACCATGAAATTTGGTTTTGTGCAACAAAATTCCGTTTGTCAGTCACTTATTCGCGAATAGACACAGACAACAGTGCATATTTCGCGCAATTTCACCATTCGTGAAAGCTTTACAATCGTCCATTATTATCAGAAAATGGTGAATATTTTATATCAATTTCAGAGCTCACTTTGGCGCATATATGCAATTCATTGAGAATTATAGTGTAAATGATCCGAAAACTAGACTAGTATGTGTTACAAAATTATAAGGAAGAACGAAATGCTCGACATAGATCTATGAACGAAAAAAAAAATCATTCATAATCATTTATTTCTTTCTTCTTTAATTCCATTCATTTCGAGCTATTTGCCAAAGATTTATCGTTTCAATTGAATCGTACATACATAATAATATGCGCTTTGGTGCGCACAAAAGACAACCGATGACGACAAATGTGAATAAAGAAAATAATCATATTTATCATGTGTGTAATGGAAAATAATAAGCGAACAAAAAAAAATCAATCCAAATTGCAAAGGTTGGCGCGAATAGAGGACATCGGAAGAGGTGGCGAGAGGAAGAGAGAGAGAGAGAGACGTAAAATATAAGATAGTACATTTTCAACAAATAGCGTATAATGTCTTCCGTCATTGCTGTTCGCAAATAAGCACAGTATCAACCGATAATGAATACGTATAAGTAAATATAAAAGACATTGTAAGCGCGACGCGAACGCGCTACACACAACAGATGCTTTGGCCATACTTCTACCTAATGATTATCTCATTACAAATGCGAACGTGTTTGTCTGGCTACCTTTGTTGATGGATGGAATTTTAAAAATGTCTACGCTGTTGTTTGTTTACAATTTGGCTGCAGCGGATAGAGAGAGAAAGAGAAAGAGAAAGAAACCGACACTGAATTAAATGGTCTGATGGCGCGTCGATGAAAGTGAAATTGTCTGCCGGTTTTTTTGATGCAACACTGCTCGTAAAATTGGTAGACTGGTTTGTTTTTCGTCTTCTAATAAAAAAACTGATTGTTTTGTCTATTCAATTTGAAATGCATTATGCACAAGAATCACACCTCACAACATGAAAAATTGCAAACCAATCTAAAACGTCATTCAAAATAAATCCATTTCTGGATATGTGTACTTTCCAATATTTCAACGGCAATACTGATTTTTTTTTTTCTTCTCTCGCACACTGACCACACTCACGTAAGACAACTACAAAAATCATTTCCAATCTCTTCGTCACTTCTTACATCTATTATGCAGCTGTTGTTGTGCTTCCGAAATGCATGTTTTCATTATCACAATATCCGTTGTATTATTTTTTTCCTCTTAGATTAAGATGTATGTTTTTTTTTCTTTAAACAATGAAAAACTATAAATGCACGTAAGCGTAAGACAATCGATGGAGTTGTAAAAATTAGCTCTTGCTATTTTTTTATATATATAAAACAATAACTTAATGTTCTGTTTGTATTTCGTTTCATTACATTTGCGCTTTCTTTGCTGATCCGATCGACCAAAAGTGAACACATCGTCGTCCATGGTTTGTATTTAAATATTTGTGATTATTGTTATTGTTGTTCGTGTTGATTGTGCGCTCAATTTTTTTTTTCTGTTGCTGTTGTCTTTTTCACATCTTGTTAATTTTATTTTGTTTATTTGTTTTTCCATCTCTTTCTCTCTCGCTGTTTCTCGTTTTTTTGATATTACAGTGCCATATAACGTGCATACACATAATATACATCATCATCACATTCAGACCGTGCCCGTTTACAAGCATATACCAGTTGTGAAGCACGTGCCAATTCAAAGTCCAATAATAGTCAAAGAAGTGGCAATTCCAGTACATCTTCCAGCTTACAAAGAGGAATGGAGTCCTCCACAACAACAATGGTGGTAGATGGATGACCACACGCAATCGCAGTTGACAGACATGATGATCATATGAGTTTGAAAGTGTAAAAACAAATTGAACAAAAACTAAAATCGTCTGATTGAAATCAGCAAAATACAAACAAAAAAATAAATAAATTTCAGCATTTTTTTCTTTCTAATTGTTTTGAAAAAAAAAAAAAAAAAAAAAGAATTACTGCAAATCATTCGAAAGAGACTTAAATAAAGGTGGTTGCCTTGTCGCCTAACTTTGTACCGTATTGTTTGTAAGCCTTTTATTTTTATTTTTATTTTTCAGAAAGAGATGAGAAAGAGCGTATTGTATAATCATTGCCGTTTATATGTGTGCGTCAATTTATTTGGATAAAACTCATGGTGATCATGCATTTTTCCGCGAAGATGTTTGAACGTTTTTCGATAAAATTCCGTCTACTATCTCTTCCGTGTAACCTATCGGAAAAATTTCAGAAAACCCATCGCGACGGTATAATCATTGATCACAAATCGCAACAAAACGAACACCTTTTGTCACACATATTCTCTCGTGTGTCATATGAAACCGATGTGAATGAGATTGGCCCATAGACAATTGCAAAAATCAAATAAAATAAGTAAAAGAAACCAAAAGAGAAAAATGAGAAGAAGAAGAAGAAGAAAATCGAAAAATAAGTAACAGCCATTTAAAACACGTTCGAATTGAAAGTTCTTCCGCAATCCATTTATAGCTTAGATAGTCGAATTGCAACCAAGATGAAAGATCCATTACTGGAAATGTGAAAGAAACGTATGGACGATAGTAAATATTTAAATTCCGTTGTTTAACGATTTACCATATAGTTTTTCTTCGATTCACATTCGATTCTATATAAAATGCGAGACTGGTTTCTGTGGTTAACACATATCATGGAATAGAGCGCGGACACATACTCGAAGCGAGAGACAAACATTTGTATGTTATCAATTGCAATTTTGCATTTCAATTGCATTCAAGCTCAAATAATATGAAATCAATGTTATATTGTGGTCGAATGAAAGTAATTCTACCAACATACACAGTAGGATGGTGTACACTGTGTTTGAGATCGAAGAAAGCATTGAAAATCAGGCATATTATGCTCAATGCAGAATGGTTCCGCGACACATGCAGCGCCAACATATGATGGTAATGATGATGATAATGATAATAAACAACGGTAATCTTTGTACAGCATTTTTTGTTGTTGTTGTCTTCTTTTCATTGATTTCGGCCCGTTGCTCATCGCACATTATATGCACATCTTATTATGAACTTTTCATCATTAATTTGTGCATGTCGTGAATGCATCGGAAGCACAATCTAATCTACACACACTCACACACTCACTCACGCTCAGCGATATATACAATTTTTATGCGGCTTTTTAATTTCAATCGTGGAAATTTTTCTACCGCAAACCAGCAACCATTAGAACTTTGAAATGCATTGAAAAATCACACAAACTCTCTCTCTCTCTTTCGCCCCAACACATACACACATTCACGTCCGGTAGAAAATGATTACATGTTTTTGGACAATATGCACAGGCTTTTGCAGTGAAAGTTTTGTAAATCGTCTTCCTTCAAACAGTGAAATATACAGTAAAGTGAATTTAATTCGAATTTGTCGAAAAATTTTCCAAGATCAAACGATAAAATTATAATGTCCATGCGTTGTAGACGAAACGTGTAAAAAAATCGAATGAACTATGTTCATAAATGGTGTTTTTCTTTCTCTATCTCTCGTCTTATTATAGTGATTTATATGTTAAATTATTGTTTATCATTTTTTTCTTCTTTTCTAAACGTCGTAGAGTTTGTCGTCATTATAATTTTTTACATCGGCAATCATTCTTTTTGCTCGTCATAAATTTAAAAATGGGAACCAATTAAAGAATACACTTAAGGTAGGTTTCGGAATTCACAGCTTCAGTTCAGCTAAACGCTTATATTATTATAGTACAAAAAATATTATATTAATTATTATACGCATTGCTGTTGTTTTTCATATAATTTTCAACTGAATGTGTGAGTTGTACTGCCCTTCACTTGCACTATCTATACCTATTGAGTATTACATGAACGAAAGAAGATTCAAGCACAAGCAATATTAAGTGATGTTACTATCATATTTATTTAATGTTTATGTTTTGTAAGTTTTCGACATAAAATCCAAAAAATCGCATCAAATAAGCTCTTTTTCAATACCATTATGTTTCATTTATCTGATGTAATTTTATTATCAATTTGAACTTGCCTGCGGGCCTCTTTTCTTATGATTTACAATTTTTCGCGCCAAAATACGGCAATTTTTTACAATTCGTTTCAAAGTCCAAAGATTTGTCAATTTTCGCACTATGCAAATAGTCATAAAAATCGACCAGAAAAGCATTTAAATCATTTATTATAGGCCGTTAATGAAGCTTCTGTACACACGAAATTCACATTCAGCGACAATTAAGCGATGTAAAGGTAGAGAATGTGCTTTGCTTAAGCAATACATATTATGGCATTCACTTTGATTTACATTGACACAGGAATGGAAATGCGCTTGAATAATGTCCAAAATTCATGATGCTTGTTCAGCAAAAGCGTGCGTTTTCGATAATAAATGTACGATCGAAGAGAATAAAAAGCCATTTGACAGAAGCGTGACACTTTTTTCTTCTCCAACCGATTCGTGCGTCTTCGGTTGAAAGCAATCCAAAGTAAAATTAGTTTAACACAATGAAAAATTGCGTGAAATCAGTCATTTGGTAAATTAAGTCATTTTGTCTGCTCATAATATGGGCGGTTTTTAATGATACTCCCGAAAATCCAACAATTGTTAATTGGATTAGTGTGCAGTGCACAAAATGTAAGCAATTACTATTATTACGATTAAACATTCATTAATGCGCTCGGCGGAATGTTATCGTCGAGTTGTTTGTGTGCAAAATCTTTTGTCAAATTCGATGATGGCGGCCAATGAAGAAGTCACAATTAGATCAGATAATTTGATGCGTGAAAGCATACTTAAAAGACACTTAAATATAAATAAATGTATAAAAACCGCAATTGGGCACGCGATTATTTTAATGAGCCCAATTACACCGTTTTGTTATTTAATTTTTGTTTTTGGTTTTGTAAATGAGCCCAAGCAAATAGATTCAAGTTCACGGCAATTTAAGTAATGCGCTCGCCTTTTTTTTCACTCGAAGAATAAACGAAATGCGCAAGTGCGAACAGCTCGCATTCACAACTATCAATTGAAAATGAAATTTAAAAGGAAGAAGAAGTAAGCATAATATAAATTGAATCGTTTGCATAAAGTATCGTGAACACACATGAAATCTCTCATTAAGACATTGATGATGGCACGCGTACCAATCGACCAACAATAATAAACGGACTAAAGTGAAGAAGATGAAACCAAAAGAGAAGAAAGAAGAGCACCGTGAGCGCATCTCTTCAAAACCGATTTCAACAGTTCAAATGGCCATATATCATTCAATTGACGCAATTGAATAAATGGTTTTGTGTGAGCTGTCATTAGTAATACAATAGCCAAATAGTCATCCATAGTCATGCATATAAATATAGCCGAAATATGTTTGTTTCGTGTCTATTAATGCCATTGATACAGTTGAGAGACAGAACACAAACACACAAATACAGCTAAATACAATTAGCCATATCGATTGCGTGCCGGGTGCTATGCCAAATAAATGTGTGTCCAGGTGGAATTTGCAACCAATGAAGTCATATACAGTGAACTATGGAAACGTTTTTATTTCATAAATCAATTCGCTTTTATTCTTTCATTCAGTCCGACAATCGATGAGATGCTTCTTTTGTTTCGATACAATAAAAATTGCACAAAAAAACATATACATAGAAAAAGAAGAAGCAGATGAAAAGAAATACTCCAACAGTTACTGGACGGAATAAAGAATGATCGAAGAAAAAAAATACACAAAATAATGCACACCGAAACAAAAGCATAACATTAAAAAAAAACAAAGACCACAAACAAGAAATGGAAAAACGATTTTACAATCGAAGCTAAACTGCTAACAAAATTAATTACCAACCACAACAACAGAAGCTATTTGATACGTCGACAAATTGTAAGGCATTTGATTTTGAGATCTTCGACTTTTTGGCATGCAACGAACTAGAAAAACCCTTTTTCAACGACTTCTTTGTATTCAGTTCAGGCTGGCTGGCTGGTTGGCTCGCTCATTCATTTATTTGCTCTTATAATTTCAGAGATTGAGTCTCTCTGTCTCTCCAAGTAACAGGCGACCTCTGCATTTCTCACTCTCACTTTTTTTTTTTCGTCGAACTGTCTTTTTCGCATTTTGATTATTACAACACTTCGTTTTTTTTTTATTATTATTTCTTTTGCTCAAACAAAGGAAACATATTCAAAAACTTTATTGATACACACTATTGTAATTACTGTATTACATACATGCGCATTTATAAAACTTAACCACAATATGTTTTATTCAAACGAAAATTGAATGGCCAAACTCGAGTTGAATTAATCGACAAGAGAAGAGGTGATAAACGCAGGCATATAGGATTGGTAAGAAAAAACGAGATGGAGAAACGAACATTGAAACGATGAATCGTGCACAACGTGAAGCAACCGTTGTATAAGTAATGCCGAATTATAGCAGCAATTCATGTGTGTGAGAACTGTGTATATGGCGCGCAATTCAAGAAGAAATCTTTGAGCTCGACAAAATTTCTACCGGTAACGTATCCATATATAGTTTTTTTTTTTCATCTTAATAACTTACTTAGCCGAGAAATTTCAAATGGCAAACAAAGAGAATTTAATAAACTCGGCTTGAAATATACTTTTTCGCATTTGACTTTTCGATAGAGAGGGAGAGAGAGAGAGTCCGTTTTTTTAATTTTGCGGTGCGGAGTGGCAAGAAGCCATGTCACGGTAGATTTGTATTACATAAATGTACGATAATATTGTATATGCATGTGCAGCCCAGTGAGTGTGCACATTATAGACATGAAGGAATGAAGAGAGAAAAAAAGCGTCAAAATTTCATCATATCCCTGGAAACAATTCAAAATTTCAACTAAATGAACATGATTACGCGGTGCGAGTACTGAATGTTATCATTATTAGCCGGGGAAAATCATGAAATGTCAAAATGTGGATCCGATTGCACACATCGCTTTCAATTCAATTCAATTTGTTTTGATTATTTCGCTTTTTCGCATACAAATGACACATTAAATGAATGACTCTGTGTGTTGCCTTGACCAACGAGTTAATAAACAATGACAATAATTCGCTTCAAGTTAGTTTTTCGTCGAAGTGGTCGTCATCATCATTGTTGTTGTTGCGTTTCTATCGTTGCTGGATTGGCTGACTCTTCTCAAATGCATAACAACATTTGCAATCGAATGAGTTCCGTTATTGAAATGGCTTGATGTTTGACACTTTAAATAAAGTATTGCTAGGGCTTCTGTCGATGCATATTATGTTTGTTTACGTATGGTTAAATTTCTTTAGTGGATGCTGCTTACCGTTCTCTTTCACCAGGTATAATGTTCATGATGTCTGGTCTCCGTTGTCGATGGTTTGCATGTGTGTGTACATTTCAATCTTGTGCCGTTTTCAGTTTCGATGGATAACCATTTTCTCGGTCCATAGTGCCACAAGTAAATACTCTATACTAGCGAGAAGAGAAAAAAAAACTCTTCACACGTTACCACCAACAACAGAGAGCCAAACAGTCAATTGCCTATAAGGTTGATGCATGCACACGGCGCGACAACCGACAATGATGTATTCGTAAACTCACGGCACTGAGTTTGGTCTTTCGTTTTTTCGTGTTTTGTTACTATTATTATTATTTTTCGTGTGTTCGTGTATGTGTTCGTGTGTGTGTTTCGCTTTTCTTGGTTCACTTTCATTGCGCGAATTGCGCGTGATCGAAGAGCGAGAGAACACAGGCATCGCAAGCATCTATCTGTGGCAAGAGGACGGAAATGTGTGAAATTTTATTTGATTACAACTAAACAGCCAGACTATGTGCTGTGCGCATCATAGTACAGCTCAACACAAACACCACTATTTCGGTTTCAATTTGCGCATTGTTTGATTCGATGTTATTTATGTTTAGCTTGGCTGATATTTTATGCGATTGCTGTTGTTGCCGCCGTTTGCCGTTGCTACCGCGCTGCAATTACACTTCAGGTGGTGGAGGCAACAGAGTATATAAAATGAGATGAACCAAACTCAATCGTCAGTTATTAGACCGAAACACACGGTCCTGAATGTTATACTGCCATTTTTTTTTTCATCTTCTACGAAAATAAAAGTCAAATAGCAAGTGGTCTATTCCAAGTGGTGATTCCAGAGTGAATGTGTACCTGTGCATGACGGCATTTTCAAATTCTATCGCGAACCGTTGATACGAGTCTCGCGGTGCACGTTTTAACAGCAGTTTTATTAAATATATATATATTTTTTTTGAAAATATCAACGAATTTATTTAGTTCAAAATCTTTTTGATTTTGATATTCAAAAAGGATAATTCAATGGACTGAGTTTTAAGAAAGCGTTGATCACTTAAAATGATTTTCAATTACAAGGAAAATTCGACGATATCGATCGTAAGGATGGTCAGTGTATATCCAGATTTGAAAAAAAACTTGTTTGTTCCTTTTTCGCCACAATTTTTGTGTTGTGTTTGTGATTCTTATTTATTACACGAAATGCACAGAAATAACATGAATTCTTTTTACATTTTTCAACAAATAAAAATATGAGTGAAAGTGGATCCAATAAAGTGACATCATATATAATTTATTTATTAGATTTATGGATTTGCATCTTAAGTTCATCCATCTTCAGAGTATGGTATATTTAATAAATAGTAATCATCATCAATTCATTTGCCCAATGGATTAACACGTTTTTAGAAATTATGCGTATTGCATGAGAAAAATGTGGTTGCCGCAGGTTTTCTTTCTCTTGTTTGGGTGTCTTTCTTCTTGCGAGTAGATCTTAAATGCACCAATGTGCTAAACAAGAATCATTTGCGATTTCCACATTTACTAAACGCATTTTTTTCCACCATAGTACATAAACCACAATTTAGCAGTGAATAGATTGGGCTATAGCAGTGCTATTTTCACAGCTCCTATTCATAGGTGCTATTTGTGAACAACGCATACGGCGGCATACGGACAGCGATTTTATGATACAATTCCGGACAATAGACTTATTGATTTGTTTATGCAAAAAAATGCTAAAATCAATAAGTCTATTGTTCTATTTACATTTTGAACATTTCGTTCGGAATTGTATCATAAAGTCGCAAATAGCTGTGAAAATACCACTGATATAGCTGTAGCTCAATCTATTCACTGCAATTTAGTTTTAATTCTTATAAGTATTAAGGAAAATATGTTGATGAATTACAAGTTGTAATTTAGAAGATATCTAATTGTAAATATGTATTAGCAACGAAATCATGTATATTTTATATGTACAGAAGGTGATAAAATCACCAAAACAAAATGTGTTTAAAAAAATGTAATCAAAAACTGGTACATGTAAGTTTAAGAAGAAAAAAATATGGCAAACAATTGATGGAAGAAAAATGTGAGTGAAAATAATTTGAAGACCCTTCACAACCTCTAATTTCTTCTCATTTGCCATCTAATATTCAATTGAAACGATGATACAAACAACACTTAGTTCAGGGGTCACACATACTTAATGCCGTTTTTTTCTTTTTCTCTCTCTCTCTCTCTCTCTCTCGCTCGATCACAACACCAGCTATTAAGGTTCAAAATCAACGCTATAACGATGCAATGGACATTGGATATTTACATTTTCACCGTTTTAAAAACTGTGTTTTAAATTTGCTGAGAAATTTCATTAAGTATTTTGAGAACATATAAAAAAAGTCTAATTTTCATAGATTATGAGAACCGTTTGTTCATAATTAGACGAACAATGCAAGTACACCAATTTCGCTTTCATTCGACATGAAAGTGGCTTGTGTATATGTATGTACGCGCTCCCTTCTGTTTGTTTTTTTCTGTGTTTCGATCCAAATTGATGTTTCTTATAGGTTTCAGACAAAAGCATCTCTATATCAATGGGCCATCAATGTGAAACAAAGAATCCACACCATTAATTTGAATATGTACATATAAATAGTTCAAAATGAGCGCGAAAGATGAGAGCGTTGGTACGTTGAACTTGTCAACTTGTTGTTACTTTTTTCTTTGCTTTGCTTTTTTCGTTTATATCAGTGCAATGTCATGTCATTTTCTTTAACCATAAATATTCGTAAACATTTCCCTGATCATATCCGATAATAGAAATGTTTTCATTTCCATTTGGTGTTTGTATTGGTGCTCAACGTTGGAAATAACAACCAGTCAAATGAAAATCACGATAAATAAACGAGAGTGAGAATAAGAGAGAAACAAACGAAACCGTTGCCATATACCTCTTCTGTCACCTTTACGATTTTCACAATTGCATGGCACAAAATATCATCACGTAATCTCCGGAAGTATATCATTTAAAAATTGACTTTAAAAACGGCATGAGAATTTTGCAATCAAAATGTTCAATTTCAAACAATCGAAAAATATATATATATATAAATGAATGAAAATGAAAATAAAAAGAAGAAGAAGAAATAAACGAAATGTGTTTAGTGTCGGCAAAATATAGAGATGCAAAGGTAGCAGCATCAAAGCAGATTTACTGTCTGAAATGTCGTTATTTTCTCATTGTGAAAAGGAATACATAATTTCCGATAAATTTTCATTGAACGTTGCGATGACGATGGTGGTAGCGAGCCAGCGCCACACACGAATCAATCCAAATATGATCGATACTCAATTTGACATTTTCCCACTGACTAATGATGCATAAAAGAGATATCGCTCTAATGGGACACATAATATTCTTGATTGGACGCTGTATGATTGAGTGATGGTGAAATTAATTTTCTATTTTCACATGATGATCAATAAGTGGCAGTTTGTTCGCGCAATTCAATAGCTGACAACAATGAATTCAACTCAATGGCGGGAAACAAATCTATGGGCATTGCGATGTCCGCCTCTTTTAATTTCTGACATGCGTTTATTCACAGCGGTCGATTTTTTTTGTTATAATTTCAAACTGCCTTACCAAATACGCGCACACACATATTTCGCACAATTTGGAAATATACACAAAAAAAAAAAGAAGAAAATAAATGGTAAAACTCACGAAATACACTTTTTTCTCCTCTCGTCCCATTTTTTTTTTGGTTCATTTCGGACTCTGTGTGCATATTGTCTAATCGTTCAGCATGCAAAACTATTCCGCAAATTTCACAAAGCGCCATCATTACATAAAACCAGCTACAAAGCATTTGCTTAATGTGATCGTGATTTGTTTCGTATAATTCAATTATGTCCATTGCCGATCGATTATTTAGTTCGTAATCTTCAGTTTCATTGTTACGGTGCTGTTGTTGATATATCGATTTGGGGCCATTGATTCATAGTGCAATAAGAAAAAAGCAACAGCAGCAACAACAGCAAGAAAAAAAAAACAGCCAACATTGTTGTATGGCATGCACTTAATAATATTTGAGATAGAGAGAAAAAGGTTATTTCTTTTGTTTTAACTATGTGTAAGTCATAGTGAAATGCCCTTCAGTACGTGAGTTCGTTGCGTTATTTAATTGAAAATTAACACTGAAATGAAATGAAAAACAAAAGATATCTGATTTGATGTTGTGCCTGTCTGTTTGCTTGAGTATGTGTGCGCGCGCAAATCCAACATAAGTCGATAAAAAGCACCAACATTAGATACACTGAACTATTTATAGAGGTTGAATAATTACATTTGTTCACAAGACAAATAAAACAATAACATTTATGTTACACTTATATTCTGTGTGTAAAATTCTGCAATAAATACGTGTGATGAAAGCTTAACATTTTGAATATGTGTGTGGACAAATACCAATGAAGATTCTTCAAACACGTACAGCGCATGCATTTATGTGTAATTTACAACGATTTAAGTGTGGGAAATTATATTTTAACACTCTATTTAAGAGCAACGATGAAATTACAGAGGAAAATGAACGACGACGATGATGATAACGACGAAGATGACGATGGAATCGTGTATACGGTCTTTAACATATGATGAACAAGGCAAGGTGCGCTCTCGTGACTATAGATGAAAATTTTATTTAAACAACAACAACAACAAAAAAGATCACAACAGTGAAGAGCAGCGATCCAGATGACTTTTCGCCTTTATCGCGAAATGGTAAAAAAAAAACAGTAAAAGTAGCGTGCATGCAATAAATGTGTGAGCGTTTTTGAATTCGTCGAATGATGAAGTAAGAGAATTTGAATGCCTTCGGGTGGCTCTGAAACATTACAAACCGACATGAAATAACATTTTCGCATTGAAAATGGTATAAATCCTCGATGATGTGCTTCATATTATTTTTCTTCATTCATTTTCATATTCCTTCTGTGAATTTTATGTCAATGAATCTTGCACTTGGTTACCATCAATACAAGGCAGTCTACTTAATGCCCGTATTCGTCGTCGTCAGAGTCGTTGTTGTAACCATAATTCAAAAGGCATATTTAATGTGCTTCCGGATCGGATAAGTATAAACGAAAAAAAATACACGTGTTTTTGCCTTTTTTGTCGACTAATATTTTTTGTGTAGATTGGTTTTTGCATCATAGATTCTGGTTCAATTTTATTCATGTTTGAAATGTTTACAATCACTACAATTGAAATGGTAAAATTGTTGTTTCGAAGCGCTGTTTTTATTTCTCATGTTCGAATATCATACGACGAAAGTGAGCCTTCTGGCGGGTACTTGTTGATTCCTGTGCATTTCGTGGTTTAGGCAATTTAAGCATTTTTTTTTTTTTGCTTAATCTCATTCTTCTCTTTTTCGTTTATTTAATAAAATCAACGGTTTGTCACACACACAATTTAGATGCTGCTATTGTCTGCCTTTGGTGCCATAATCACATCTGTGCTTTCGTATGAAGACTCTTATTCAAAGGGTGGTGACGGAGGCTCACCAGACTTCTCACTATCCAATTTAGATACTACCGGTGGTGGCCTTTCGCTCGATTCACTTGGCGGCGGCGGCGGAGGATATGGAGGAGGTGGACATGGTGGCGGCGGCGGTGGTGGTGGCTATGATTATACGCCACAACAAAATTTTGAACAACATGATCATCATGAGCATCATCCAGAACCGCCAAAAGGTCATTGGGAGAAAAAAATGAAATGGAAAGAGGAATGGGTCAAAGAAATCAAAACGGTAAAAAAACAATCGCACGAGACCAAATGGAAATCCGTATCCGTTCCGGTGTGGCAAGATGTTGAAAGTATGGCAATTATTAATTGAATGGCATTGAAAATTGATGTGAACAAATAAAACAAAATTATTATTTCGATTTAGTTCCTGTGTGGAAAGAGAAACGAACACCAGAAGTCAAAATAGTAAAGCATCCAGTTTGGAAAGAACGGCTCGTACCCGCATGGAAAGACGTGAAAGTGCCAAAATGGAAAAAGGTAAACATTTGCAAAGAATAAATATCAAAACCTTCTACTTAAAATATAATCATCAAACATGTATTTCATTCGGTGATACACCGCAATAAAGGTCATATGGAAAAGTTTATAGATAGTACCATTTTTCGAACACAATAATATCATTTTGATGACATTGTGATGTTATTATTGTGTACAAAAGAGAAACATTTACTTTTCATACATATTAAAAATGACACTTTCTACCATCGCACACGCACATAACTATTTTGTTTCAACGAATCGAATTCAATGAAAATAAGAGCGAGACTTAGATTTGAGAGAGCAATTGAAAATCGATTATACAGATCAATTTTGTTCGGCCTAATGTCTACAAAGCGATTATTGTAAAATGCGCATAATGATCGTCGTGCCTTTCCTCATGTTTTTCGTACTTAATTTCCTCGTTGAACATGATATGAGAGGCATTTATTTATTTATACCAAAAATATCATCAGTCTAATCGAGGTTAGAAAATAATCGCAATTAACTGATTGGAATCGGATGTTTTCAATTCATTTTAAAGGTCAACAAACCAATCTGGGTCGAAGAGAAAAAGGCGGTATGGCGTGAACATAAAGTTGCTGATTGGAAACAGATTTGGGTTAGTTGGTGTTTTTTCTTTGGAAAATTCAAAACAAAAATTTCACTTAATCGAGTGGGAATCTTAATTGATATTCTATCTTCAGGTGCCCGATTGGGTTAAAATGGGAATTCCGGGTGAAAAATTCTTAGGAAAAGATAAAGATGGTTGGGAATACACCAGTCATGATTTATGGCGCAAAAAAATGATTTGGAAACCGGAATACAAAAAAGTTTGGAAAATCGAAAAGAAACAAGAATGGGTGAGTATTCTCAATATCCGCAAAAAAACACAATGCAATTTAAAAATGCATATTTTTTAAAGGTGCCGGAGAAAAAACTAAAATGGAAAGAAGAATGGTGAGAAACATAAAAAGTCTGATCAATAATTAAATATTTAATATAAAATGTCGAAAAATACATTTATAACGATATTTAAATGCCAAAAAAAACGTTGAGAAATCATAAAAATGTGTGATTTGTGTTTAGGGTCCAAGAATGGCAAACGGAAAAACGTCAAATTTGGCTAAAAGAGAAAAAAGAGTTCTGGGAAGAGAAAAAGATTGAAATCACAAAGGTTGAAAAGGTAAAGGTGTGGGCGCACGAGAAAAAGAAGGTCTGGAAGAACGAATGGAAATCATATGAGGTAATTTTTGCACATTTATCTCCAAACAAATGAAATGACGCAAATATATTTTGTTTTCTTAGGTGCCGGTGTGGAAAGAGGTTCATGTGCCTACTTGGAAAAAGGTATACATCAACGATCATAAGATAGCAAGAAAATCACATTTAAATGATATAACATTTTAATTATATACAGATTTGGAAGCCCGTGTGGGAAAAGGTATGGGTACAAGACGAACATCATGAACATCATGAAAATCACGGTTGGAATTGAATGTACAACAAAATCGAAAACTACGGTGATCAATACGGGAAAATACAAAAAAAAAACAAACACAAGATTCTTCGTTTGTGAACGCGAATACTCTAGCATCTAGTTGATTAGTTATGTTTAAATGGAATAATGTAAATATAAATCGTTAGATAAATAGTGCACGACAAAAGGCATGATGGCAAACCAACGGCTTAAACAAATTAAAACAAAAATCAAAAAATCATCAACAAATCAACATTCTTAACGCCATTTAACTGAAAATACTGTGAACATACATATATTCAATCGTCATCATTCATTCATTCACCCAGAAGAAAAAAAAACGAGGAGAAAAAACTATTTCGTTTCCGAAAGAAAGCAAAATTGAGATTGATGCTGTGCATACGTGAGTCTCCGTAAAAGTTCAAAGTCATCAAATTAGTTTAAAATTGTGTTTACGCATCTTGATTGAGCATGACGAAAAGACAAACAACACGCAAATACGTGATTGCGCCACATGAAAATTAATTCCATTTTCGAGTAGCACCAAAAAACGGCCGCGATCAATATCAAACAATTAATTTTATTAACGAATGAACAGGACACATCACAAGTTTCGATGCGAAAGGTACTATTGTTACAAAAAAAAAACAACAAAAAATTACAGCATACGTACATGCGTGTTCAATCGCTTATTTTCATCGAAAATAAAAATAAACAATTCAAAAAAACAGCGGCTATTCGAGAGATTGAACGTGTTTTTCGTTTTCTTACCTCTTTCTCTTTTGCTTCTCTTCCGAAAACAACAACGAATTTCCATGTAAATTTCCCGCGTCTAATCTCATAATGCGTTTTTGGTTGGCATATTGTTGTGTGTTTTTTTGTGTATAGCTTTTTGTTAGGTGAGATTTTAAGACTAAATTTATTAGTTCGCATTTAACCATTTCAGATTGTAATTGGCTTTTAAAAGAAAAATTCCAATAAATAATAACAAATGTAAATCAGCATCTCGAATGTTTTACTCACAAACTCATGATTTATGCCATCAATTTTACAACTTGTGAAACAAAAACAAGCAATAAACACTGCACATGAATTTATTTTACAGCCTATAGTTAGTTTTTATTTGTTAAATGGTTTTTTTTGCTTTGTTATTTCATCCGTTGATGCATGGTAAAATGCGGTTTCTTCTTTTATATTGTGTTTTGGGAACTTTGGTACGAATAAATGTTAGAAAATATGTGAAATTGATGCCATCTGTCGGAATGCTTTGTAAATCATATTGAAACTTTTTCTTCGCACAAACAATTTTCGTGATCCATTGCGTACAAAAGCACTCAGCACTGTTCAAGCCTGAAAGATTGCTACAAATGAGAAACCCATTCGAATAGTGAATTGTATTCCATCGGTATTGATATATTCTTAATTGATTTTGAGTAGAGTAAGGTCATTGAAACAATTTCGATGCTATCGTTGTTGTCGTTGTTGTGAAGCTTAAACGTTCTTTTCACCCATGTATGATTGGTACATAATAATAATGAAAGCCATTTTATATAAATCATATGTGAAATGATGTGAAATGCAAACCATGAAATATGAAATTGATCTAATGGCCAAACGATCCGATTAAATAAATTAATCGCTTTGGGTCCATTAATTTTAAAGCCATTTTGCGATTTAAATTGTTTGAATATTTTCTTGTGTAATTATATTCCACCTTCACTGCAACGTCAATATTAAGCACTGCTAAGCATTTTGTGTGTGCTTTCTTTTGTTCAGTGGGCCACAAAAAAAGAAATACTTTCAATTTGCCACCCGACTCTTTCATTCTGTTGGGATTAATGTTATCTCCATAACAATGCAAAGCCTTTTTTGGCGAGCAACAACTGAAAAAGAAACAACAACCAACTAAATCGAGTATGGATCAAAATTTATAAAGAAGCATAATGTTGTTATTAACGAAAAAAAAAATAAGAAATATCGTGTGTGGATACGTGAGTGATCGATACGAAACCTGTTATTTGCTTGGCGGAGAAAATGTAATATTATCTTTCTTTTGTTTATGTTATATAATTGGCATATATGATGATTATTATGGGTGCGCTTTTTTTATATTATGCGATTCGCATTCAGAAGGAAACAAAAAAATGAAAGGCTAAAATGTCGAAGCAATTTTAACATGACTAATTTAATGTTTTGACAAGCGGCCGATTCTGTTGTAAAAGTGGGAATTTCCTTTGCTCCACATAACATGCATTCCTGTGATCGGTTCTCGATCGATACGAATGCGCTTTCATTATACAACTTACCGGTTTATGAAAAACATGAACAGTTCCGTTTCGATCCGATCGTAAGCATTTCGGTGGTCGATATTTTCGTTTCATGTTATCCGATATATTGACATATCCGTTTAGCAAAATATTAATGCTAAGACACCAAATCTCTTTCTCTCTCTCGCTCTCTCTCTCTCTCTATTTTTCTCAAACGCATACAAATTAGTTTTGAATATAGGTGCTTAAATATTGATGGGTCAGGGATGAAGATTTAATCGAATCTCTTGCGCAAATGATTGAAAGAACTTCGCTAGTGATGGTGGTTTAAAGATTTGTGTAATTGTGCCACTGTTAATAGAATAAAAGAACATAAAAACAAACAATAAGTAACAGAACAAGAAGAACAAGAAGAAAATTCGAATACAATAGGCTTCAATCGTAGTAGAAAAAAACTCGATCTTATCGGTAATTTATTTCATTTTGATGTACATAATTCGCTTTTCTTGGCATCGACTTTAAAAACTAAATTAACATATTATTCATCGTGTGGTTGTCGTTTTTTTTCACCGTACCAATACGTGCATTCAATTTGATGCGAGTTGGGCGGCCGGCTTAATATCGCCAGACACTTTTTCAATTTGGAGAGGCATTTTGCGAAAGTGAGCACCTCGCGGTCAATTCATCCGGTCACACACACACACGAAAATAAAAAATTGAGTCGGTAGTAATGCATTTAATTCAGTTAAAATTCCTTTCCTGATGTGCTAATCGACTATTACAATCATTTTGCGAAAGAGATAGTGCATCAATTTACATTCTTGTGAAAATTCCTTTTCGTGCAGACGAATTTTTTTTTCCTTTTCTTTTTTTTCCAATTTCTAATCGGAGTTTTATCGGGCGACGATGTAATCAACAGACGCAAAATTGCTCTTCATTCACATGACATTCTCATAAATGCTGGCAGCTCACAAATCGTAAATCGAAATGTCCTCGACGCAATATTTTGTTTCTCGTCTTTTTCTTTTAAATACAACACAAAATGTGGTCTGTGCGAAGATATTAAACTCGTTATATCCGTTTCGAAATAGTCCGTACAATTTAAATTAGTTTGTTTTCAATGTTTTTTTTTTCTATGATTACGGTGTCCATTTCTTCGTTTTACACAATCTCTCTCGTTCTCTCCCTCTGTTTGTCAGTTGCAATTGGGCTCGCTCACTTTGTGCACGAATTGCCGATTGTCACGATGCACATTTGCACTGATAAACTTATGGTAATGCATCAAATCGTACGACATTTATGTAACGTAAATCGATGGAATCTGTTAACGCACTTGTCCGCAAATAAAATCATTCCAATCAAGACGGGAAACAGCGTCAAATAGCAACACAATGTTTATGTTTATGTGTTTATCATTGGAAAAATGTGTTTACAAATCGATAACGCTTCATGCGCATTCGACTTTGGCTTTGGCTAAAAGATACATTGAGGAAAGACAGCAAATGATGAAAAAGAAGAAGAAAATATATAATATTAAAGAAATATATATATATGTATAAATATATGGAAACAGAATCCCGCAATCTAGTTAAATTGAAAAAATACAAAAACAAAATAAAACTGTTAAACGAGAAACAAAACGACCGAAGTAGAAAACTACTTTCGTTTTCTACGGTACGCATATTGCCAAATGGTCCAATATTGGAATACACACCCGTTTCGTTCGTTTTGAATCGTTTTCGTTTCTGAGCATTTTGATAAATGAAGACTTTCTTTACGTAACTTCAATTGCAATGCGATGCTGCTGCTGCTGCTTCGATATACAATGTGATGTGAAATTGCAGCATTTACTTTCGACTTAATGTATCTCATGGTTACAAGTTTTCAGCATGCGAATGCATCTGCGATCATCGACGTCTTTTGCATCGAGCTAAATTTTTGTAGTTGACGCGCGCATGTGCGCGCACCTTATACATTTTTTTCACTTCTTTTGCTACTCTCTTTTGCATCATTTTAGTTATTGCGGGCACGGCAAGTGAGGTGCATGCCTGGCATTGGCATCGCCATCAACATCGGAACAAAATAACAGTTGACTACTTTTCATTGCCTTTTTCAATTCATTTCGTTTTCATTTGGTGTAGATCGACACAAGTTTCCACTTCCCAGACTTCTATATTTGTATCGGTCGCAAAACAAAAAAGCCAAAACAGGCAGCAAGCACAACAGCTCGGCAAATATTTTATATTATTAAATGTGCTCTGAAATGCTCAACATTCGAAACATACAAATTACTTATTTAGCCTGATCTTATTTAAAGGCATAAGGGAAAAAAGACCAACAACATGAAAACAGACAAACTCACACACACACACACACACTTGTACATACAGAAAATCCATCGAAATGTTCATTCAAATTATTTAGTGGCAGTGGATGGCTTGTACACGGACACGCGCGCAACAGCCAAACGACCGAGCAACTAAACCAATGAAAATGGCATCGAATATGGAACTCTGTAGAAAACCCGCGTAATAGTGTCCGGTATCTGTGTATATTACATATTTTTTTATCCACTCTGACTTCCAATCATTGAAATGTGAAATGTTACGTGTTTTGATTTAATGCAATTTCATTTCAATAACAAGATCAATTATTTTCTCTTTCAGATAAAAATGTTCACGTTTAATTTTAAAGGCGCGCACACGTTTACGATTCAGCAATCACCAATTTCATATTGGCCGATATCGATTAAATGCGATAAATGTATGCAAGCAATTCGATCGAATCAAAAACAACAACAAAAATTATTTTATTCTTTTTACCACTTTGAACATGGCATATTCTGCGATTGATTCGACGCCACGTAAAATGTGTAGGCATGTGTCGAAACAAATTAGATACGTCAATTTTCAAACATTTAACCATTGTCTTTTCTCTCTTCATTTTGCTTCAGTTTCTTTTTGTTTTTTTTTTTCGTTCACATTCCATTCATTTATCGAATGACGACTAGAAATATTGAAACAATGTCGACCACACAGTTTTAAGGCGATCATTTGCCACACAATATTGATATAGATCGCGCATACGCGCACAAGGTACACACACAACACAATGGAATCGAATCAAATGTGATCCTTACACAATTGATTTGTATGCGACGGGGATATATACCGTATTACTCCATTATCACATAATATTTTACTTTGGCTGTAATTGCATAAGAAACGATGATTGAATGTTAATTATGTGATAGCACGTTTGCGATCTGTGTTGCAATTGCAACATTGACCAACACTAGCAAATCAGACATTCGTACACGTGATGTCCCAACAACACAACGACAACGGTCAATAAGCATAGCTTATCATAATCATACCTTGTTGGAGTTCATCATATCTTCATATCATCAATTACCAGCCATGGTTCAAACTAATATGCAATCAAAGTTAAATATGTGTATAACAAAATTGATTGAAATAAAGCCGATTGCAAGTTTCATAGGGAACCTGCTATAGTCCTCTTTTTCTTTTACTGAACGATCCAATCACACCATCATGATCTATTTCTGTTGAACAGATTATTTATCGGCAATCATTGTTGATGGTGATGGTGTTGTGGGTAATGTTAAATAAATTGCCTTTTGTCTCTTTTGATGGCCACGCTTTTGCTTTCGTTCAGTGAAATTAATTTAAAATGCCATAGCGTGGAAATTATATTGCAGCTATAATGCAAAACAGAGAGTGAAAATATATATGAGATGATATATAGCGCAATATGCACTCCCACGTCCAGTAAGCATTGGTCTTCGATAGTTTTTACCAGAGTTCGCAACGGAGGCGACTTTTCAACTCCGAAGCCGACTGAAGCCGAGACTATTAAATCCGACGCCGACCGACGCCGAGATTATTAAATCCGATACCGACCGTCCGCCGACCATCCTTTTTCAATGCTCGAAAATCGAACAAAATTGAATACTCGGATGGCGAAATCATTCCGAAACCAACCGTTCTCCGAGCATCTTGGGTTCGATCGAAGTCGGCGGTCGGTCGGCGTCGGAGCTCGGTCGGAGTTCAATGTCAATCTTCATAATTTTTCTTTTTTTATTTCTTTCAATATCAACAAAACGCTTTTTGATATCGCCACCAATGGAATGAAAAAAAAAAATGAAAATCGACATAATAAAACACATAAAAATGCGGAAAATATTAATTTCTTGTCGATGCAACATTTATTGCATTCATAGGGTGCGGCGAAAATTTTCTGAATGCGATGAATGATGATGATAACAAAAAAAAAACGAAGACCAAAAATCAATATGAAATGGAATTGAACGCTGAAAAAAGCACATGATAAATACTGCGATAGTTTTTTATCAAACAGTAAAGTGAGTGCAAAGAAGACCGCGTGATCGAAGTGATCGTGTTCACCATATGAACGAAATGAAAAATCCGCAAGTAAATCAATTTATTTAGAAAGTGATTTGAACTTCAGATTAAAAACAAATACAAGAAATGATCGGACTAGATAAGTTCCGAGTCGCCGAAAGCAGCCAAAACTTTGGCAAGAAAATAAGACGAAAAAATACACACACACATAACAGACACAAATCGACATCGACAACGGTCCATAATTTCACACATTTTGTATTTTGCATTATTTTTTGTTCACTTTTACCGCATTGGATATTGATGATGTTATTAGTGATAAATTAATAACTGTATAACTGATCACTGTGTGTTGTTGCGTTGGGAGAGTGAGTATATGTGCATGAACAAGACCGATACGGAGAACCGGTGTTAAATAATTGTTCAATGGCATCAGCGATTGCACAGACATCAGCGTTTATTTTTGGAAGAATTTCTCCACCTTTTTTTTTCTTTTTCTCTCTCTTCATTTATCTCCGTATCTTTCTACACTCTCGCCAAATTTATACGTATTACTTTTTTTTCCATTAACGAAAATGGTCAATGTTGCGCGCAATGTGACTATTTTCGTTGTTTGTTTTCGTTTTTGTTTCAATCATTTTGTCTTCAATGCTCTCGAAACGGAAGTGATGCGCATCGGAGAGGGTGAGAATGACTAAGCACTAATCATTCATATGGAATGAGCAATTTGATAAAGCATTTTGCGAAATTTCCTCATTGTCATCGATAGAGAGATCTACATAAGAAAGTTGAAAATGGCAATAACAATCGCAATCGGTCCGATTTAGCAATGCAATCGATTTCTTTTTATCGGTTTTATGACAAAATCGGAAATCGATTGCATAAAATGTCTCCGAACTCCCACCTGAAACGGATCAGGTAAAAAACGCGTTTGATCTTATTGTCTAGGCAACAAGTTATAGAAGAGCAAAAATTAAAAGAGAAAAAAGAGCAATATATAAATGTGTGTGTGTACGTGTATGTGTGTGTGAATAAAGCATACAAATCGAAATGTACTTAAATTTTTGTAATCTTATGCTTTGAATGAAATGCAGCCTCACATATCCGCATGTATAATTATAATTGTGTATGAACTTTTTTCTTTCTTTATTTATTGATACACGCATTAATGAAAGAGTCAGCGATTTTTGTCTTTCTTTCTCTATCTTTTCACTCTCGATAGCGCTCCGTATGTGTAAGCATTGCTTTTGTTTTTTTTTTTTTTATAATCACACCGGCCAGTTAAAAATGCACAATTTTTATGGTCAGAGTCACCACCCATTTCGGTTTATGGTCGTCTTTTTTTTCTTTTGTTGCATATCATTTCGGCTGAAAACGACAACGCTTTCGTATGCAACAAGTGTACGGTAGATTTTTATTTTGAATAAAAAAAAAAACACAAAAACAAAATAAAAATGAAATGAGAAAAAAACCCATTGAAATAAGTTAAATAAAGAAATGAGAGAAGATGTTCGGTGGAAGAAAAAGAAGAAAGGGGAGAGGTAATCAAGAGCGAGTGAGTGTGAGCGCGAGTGCGCGCACGTTTGAATTGGTCGCGTTGAAATGGTGTGCATGTAATGGTGCCGTTTAGTGGTAGCTCTATAGTCGGCACGAAGACAGTTCAGCGCTCAACCATTCACCAACACATACAGATCAAGTGGCAATGCACATGTAGCGAATGTGTATTAGCGATCCACATCACAAGATTGAGCGATTTGCTATATATATGAGCGAAGTGTTACCGAAACATTTAATCAGATAGTTGATGTTTGTTCCTCGAAGAGGATCGTGCAGACAAACCAAAAAAAAAAAGATTTAATAAATAAATACAATAAACAGTTGAACACACAAAACAAACAACAAACTGTACTGAAAGCGTGTGCATAAAGTGTGCCGACATAGAGAGATAGAGTATTTGGTGCCACCAAAAATACCAAATATACAAGTAGATCTAAAAATGATCAGGCGATGGAGTGTTGTGGTTAGTTTCAAGTAGTTAAATTGTTTTGTTTTTTTTTTATCACCGTTCAATTTGTCTCCATAAACGGCTTTATAAATGGTTTTTTTAATTTCTTTTTTTTCGCGACATTATGCGGAAAAAGAGAGTATAACATTGTGAACAAGCATTTTGCTGCAATTGTTTATTTGATATTTGAATTTGCCAACATGTTGGGTTGCTAAAAAATACACACAAATGTCGTCTTTTTCAAATTTTAAGTGGGTACAATTATATATAATAACAATAGAACACTTGAAAACGGTGCGTGTATAAATCACTTTAGAGTATTTAATGCGATTATGAAATCATCGGGTGACAATTAAATAATAGTTGAAAAACGTTTTGTTTTTAACATGTATTACCGCAGACAACTTAACTAGAGATATTGAAGAAAAAAAAGAAGAATGAACGAATCACAGAGAAAAATTAAAAACAAATTGCAATAAGAGAGTGTTTTCTCTTTTTTTTTTTTTATTTACGTGACCATCATCACTTTTCATTTCATTATTCTAACGTATATGAATCGAATAATGGCGAAAGCATGGAAAGCAAATTTGTGTCGAAAGAGACCGTGTACGCGGGCGCTGGTGCGCGTACGCATTTGGTGGCCGTGGATGACTGTTGTAAACACAAAATTTGTGCTATCAGTCGAAACAAACGAAGCAACAAAAGAAGAAGAAGAAGAAAACCAATGTAACATTATGTCATATCAAAACTGACAAATGGTCAAATTCACCGTTGACCGTCTTACGCAAAATAGGAAGCACGACCAATGGGTCGTGTGCATTGAATATCAATGTAAACCAACCTCATCCGACATTTAATTGAGTCGAACGACCAAATTCATTGATCCATCATTCGCATTCAGTTGCTATTGCTTATGAGACTTTGTATATGGCTCAATGCCCTGGTAACTATAAGGAGTGTTTTACATTTTCATATAAGAATATCGTTATTCACTGCAACATATGCAATATTTTTTTGTTATTTACTCATTTTCTTTTAAATATGTAACAAATCCTTTCACTTTTTTCTTGTGTGTTCCCAAGCAAATAATCAGCAGCTATTAAGAAAGCATTGCTGGGCATTTACGCACAGAATATTTTACCAAATTTTTTTTAGTCATATAAACAATATATGTTGTTGTCGTTGTTGTTATATCTATTATCATCATCATATATATTATTTTACCGTTAAAAACTCCCATAGTATCATCATCGTCATTTGCATCGATCACAATCTGTAATCGGCACTATTAGTGATTGACATTCATTCGTTTGTACATATTATGAATGGAAATCGTCGCAATTCCTGCATGCATCACATTTATGCAGAAACGTGCAACTCATTAAAATATTCACGTATTAAAATATATGCATTGCGATATATTGTAAATACGTGATATTGATTCCTCAATATCTCTTCTTTCAATTTTCACACTCTCAGTGTGTGTGTAAGTGGCATAGTGGCTCATCATCACTCAACAATTTATTGCATTCATCGTGTTCAGTACTTATTTAAATGATAACCAATTCACACATTGAACGTGTACGCGATTTTGTTGTGGCAGAAAATCGAAAGAGAAAAAAAACCGCTGCGATGAAAAAAAGAAGAAGATGAAAATAAAAAACACGTTGATGAAAATTGCACTAATGAATAAACACAATGAGAGTGACTTATGTATGTGTGTGTGTGTGCGTGTGAGTGTATATACACTTTTGATTTCACCAACATAAAATCTTACGGTCTCCCGCATTATAAGTGTAATGAACTTCTTTTCTCGTTCATAAAATAAAAACATACATTGCAAGTCGAAAATGTGTATCATGGTAACATGGTTGAATATGTTAAGTGTTCGAAATTATATCGGACTCACCGATACCGCAAGCCCAACTTCATTCTGCCATTCTGATCCGATAATACTGGGTTAGTACTGAATTTTTTTTATATGTTATTTTCTAAGCACACATCGATTGTGCTGATGCTAATGTTTTACATTTTACTTGATGTTTCTCTTGCTCTCTCTCTCTCTTTTTGCTCTCATCCGGACCAGTGTGTCACTCGGCAGGCAAAAAGTCTAAAACAAAAGTGAATAATAAACGCAAATAAGCATTTATTGTTTAAATATAGAAATCGAAAGGAACAAGCACCGAATGCTTGAATGCATTACATTTGGTTGAGCGAAAAGAAGAAGAAAAAAAAGAAACATACACTGAAAACATCAAATTATGTGAACTTGTTGCTTTGGCTTCTGCTAAACGCTCCGAGTCAAAGCCGAGCAAAAAAAAAGCGCCAAACATAACAAAACAAAATCAGCGAGTAAAACAAAAAGCAATCAATGGCCAACATACATATATGTACGAACATCATCAATCTCATAGCCGTATTATTTATTGGTGTATGGTTCTCTGGCTGATTAGGTCAATATCAATATATAAAAAAAGAGCGATCGACAATACCATTGTGTGCAATGAGGTATGTAACACATGTTCAACTTCCATTCATCATGCCCGCTTAAACACTAAACGCTACGATGAGATGCATTTGGATTCAGTTTTTTTTTCTTCTCTTCTGCATTCGTTACAACTGCCAAACGGTTAAAGACGCGCGAGCGCGACCGCGTTTGCAATCTTCTTTTATATTAATAATGAACACACAACACACACAAAAAAACTATAAGATAGCGAAGAAACAGTAGCGTGAAGAAAAAAATTATGTGAGCGCGTGTACTCCCAAACATACATAATACAACATTGAAAATGGATAGAAAACAAAACACTACGACATAATACAATGCAATCAATTAATAGCCAGTACAAATACCTCAGTCGCATCTCTTGATCGGCTAAAGTTATGCGATTTTATATGATTAATTTTTTGTTTGTTTCATCTTTATGTTTTGTTTTCTTCGAAAAGATGATGCGTGAGCCCGTGCGCACAATATAGTTAAAACAAAGAAACGAACACATGAAAAGAAGAATGGAAAATAATAAACGTCAAATGCAAACGATACGATTTTTTTTCACTCTGTATTGTACCATGTTATAAAACGATTAACGTTTTAAATTGTATGCAGATAGTGTTTTGTTGTCTTTAATTGTTACATTTTGATGCCACGCAATGCCAAAGAACAAATGAACAAATTCCAAAAATGGAATTATTTCAATGCTACTAGCGGTAGTTTTTTTTTTGTGAGTTTCTTCTTCTCCTTCTACTTGTTTTCCATAACACATTTTTTTTCGCACCTTTTGCGAATGGGCATGCGAATCAGTCGCCTGCACTTGGAAAACAAACAGTCGCTATCGAAAAAAGCGGCAATCTTCAGAGAGTGCAAGAGCAAGACATAAACTCTATCTAATCGCAATGCATGTCGCATTTCAAAACATATTGTTAACGTATTCAAGACAACAACAACGAGAGAAAAAAAAACAAAAGTAAAAAAAAATTAATACCGAAAACTCCAGAGAGAAGCAACGAGCAAAAAATCAGAAGAAAATTAATGTGATGAAAAAAAAATCTATAAATATAAATGAATGCAATTTGAAGCACATTTTTTCTGCGCTGGAAGCAAGCCAACACAGAGTTTTCGATCTAATTTGAGAAGAAAATGAAAATGAAGAAACAATCAGACGTGAACAGGCGAAAAAAAAGTAAAAGACTCGTGAAAGTAAGCAATAAGTAGAGTGCTGCACCACACCACAACATACACACACACACACATGAAAATAAAAAATAAAAAAATAAAATTCAGGTACATGTTAAAATGTTAATAATTAAATTAATTAACTCTTTTAATTTACATTTACGAAGACCAAATCAATGTGCGTATGTTGTATGCGTACAAGTACGATGCTTATCGTTGGATACATTAAACGGGTCTTTAAATTCGATTTTTTTATTATATTTGCAAGCTACGAACGTGGCTGGCTCACGATGAGTGGAATTGTTGAGGGACATACACTGTACATCACAAACAGCATCATTTATGCAAGTGCATGGTCATGAAGATATTGATAAACGTTTGCATTCGCACGCGCATAAACCCAATATTTGCTTCGATGTTTTTTTTTCTTTTAGCATGTCATTTTGATTTGGTCGCATGCATATCTTATTTTGCTACACTTCTATGCCTCGCATCATAGCGTACAGCTTTGTGTGGTTTTTTCTCTCTTTCAAATATTTTTCTAATTGAGTGTACTCGCAATGTCGAGGACCAGAGGACAGTGAACATTGACGCGCACAAAATCGCATATATCAAACAAGCGAATTAATGTGAGAGTGTAAGCGATCTTATGCGTTCAAGAAGCAACCAATTCACCAATATGCATATTAAGTTTAATGAGGTAAACACATATACACATGCACACAGTCACAACCGAGTGATTATAACTGGTGCACGATTTATCATTTAGCAAATTATTGCAATGACACTTTTACTTTAATCCAAACCCAACAGTCCCGGACAAATTGACTCTCTACTATACACACTCGCATGCCTACCGTCGCGCGCGCGCACATACACACACCTCATGGCGCGCACATACACCTTACAAGTGTTACATTTCAATAGTAAATTCAATAGCCACGAAATGTTTGATTAATTTGGCAAATAGAAAATGTGCAATCGTCGTGTCATTTCTTCTTGAACTAGAAAACGAACATAATAACCGGTGTGCTATACGAAATGAAAAGTGAAATGAATAACAAATCAAAATAGAAACAGCAGAAATGAATAATAAATAAATAATAATAAAAAAAAACCTGAGTAAATGAAGAAAGAAGCGGAAAATAGTCGTGCTAATTCGATATGCTCATACAAGCAGTGCGCTCGCACATATATGCACAGCATTGAATTACTCATTGTAAATTATATAATTCAAATTGGATCCGCATCCACATTTGAGCGTCTATGATTTTCAATCACTCTCAATCCCAGATTGAATTATGTCGTTATGATGTTTGTTTGTATTTGTGATAGCCAACGAATGAAACAAACAAACAAACAAATAAATTCACTTTCAATTTGTTGTTATTTTAATGGAATTGAGCAAACGATCCGTGAATAATGCCAACTACATAATCAATGCCAAAAGTTGTAGGAGTCGATCGAAATTGTGACGCGACACACTATGTCTTCAACTCCGTCTCCGTCATCGCTATTGTAGCAAAATTCGAACAATGCCACCATCAATCCGTCCACAAGTTATGTCAATGGGTTTTTTTTTCTTTCTTCATTTCATTAAAAAGAGCTAAATATTTTGTTTTCTTTTCAACACTTCTTCATTATCTATTCATTTGTATTCCGTCTAATGAGTCGTCGGATAATCATTCAAATTTCGAAAGCATCGATCGAACAACGATATATAAAAATAGACAATTCAAACATTGAATATAGAAAAAAGAAACACGAATGCAAAATTACTTCATTCCACCGTAATTCCAGCGCGGAATTTGCGGTAATTTAATTGGATTTTCGCAAAATTGCCAAAAATCAAAACGATTTCTAATGATTTTTGGTGCAGTCGAACGCCATTTTTGTATTTTTTGGCAAATTGCTTAAGCTTAGCATTGTCAAATTTATGAATTAACTAAACCGATAAAAGAAACTCCAATTTTATTGCATATATGTACATCCGTCACATTTATATATCTCAATCCATTTCCATGATCTACGTGATACCATTTGATTTCATCGTCAAAATAAAATTTCCTGTACATATTTGGCATTTCCCAAATTCACTTTAAGAAAATCGGTTTTTTTTTTCGCCAATTCTTTCGCTGAAGCGAAATGTACGTGAGTGTATATGCGGTTTTTGTTTTGTTATAAATTTACGACGAATTAAGTTGCAAATAAATATATGTATGTGTGTGTGTTTCTTCTTCGTTATATCAGCGATTGTTTTTAATTAATTCTCTATCCAAATTTTATTCCGTCCTCCGGTTCATTTCATCGGTTGCTATTCGTGAGAATTTCATATTTAACCACATTCACTGTTCATTTCTCGTTTATGCTTCAATGAATTGGCATATAATTTTCCTTTGTTGAACAATGAAATTGCGGAAGAATCATCGACTATGTGCCGTTAGAAGAAGCGTACACTTGCTGTATCAATTTTCATGTGTTGATGGTTTGTTTATTATTGACTTTCAATATTTTTCGGTGAAGGTGCTCGAATTGCTACCGTGTGTGTCGATTTTTTTTGGTAAGTTTGTTTTTTTGTTTCTCGCTCGCTGGTTTCATTCGGTTATATGATATTCGGTGCGCGATTTCCTTTTGACAATATCAACATCGATTTGCAAATTAATCTAATTGGTTTTGATGATTGGGGTTTTCACGTAAAATAATTATTATTATATGATGTAAATCGATTGATTTTAAGCGCACCGATCTTTCAACATCAATAAACAACAAATATTATCGCTATAATCGTGATCATGCGAAATAAGATGATGATGGATCTCATATACATTTTATTTAAATGATGATTTTCATAGTTGATTTAATGTGAAACATTTAACGCAATTCATATTTGTAAAATTCGTGATGTGTGCAACAAGAAAAAGGGAAAAAAAAAACAATCAAACCGTAGTGGTGGCCGGCAAAATACCGGCATTAGATTCAAATACAAAACGAAAGTATTTGGGCCGTGCCTCTTTTTATTTATGCTTCCCGTTTATCTGTACGTACGGCTAATTGGTCTATTTTCTATGTTATCTTTTGCGAATGCATTTCTTGTTTCTTGTTCAATATGTGTTGTATGATGGTTGCTACGAAGTTGGCTCTCTTTCTCTTGTACGTTGGATATTTGCCTATTGAATAATTACATGATTGGTGAGAATACAATGCAGTTGCAGTAGACTTAGCATATGCGTATAAAGCCTGTGATCGCAGACTGAATTTCAATAGCGCCAGCCATACGCCCAACAATGAAATACTTACTTACTAATATCAGAGAGTAATGAAAACTTATTAAAACTATAATTTAATTTTATTTTATCTATTTATTTATTTATTTTTTCCGTTCGTCTTGTCTACCGTCTTTTGGGAAATAAAAGCGGCATTTTTTCGCAATTTTCTCCCTTTTCATGGGAACCTACGTTTATATGTCTGCGCACACATTTCTTCGGAAATTTTTCGTTTTCTCTCCAACTTTTCGTTTGTATACCACGAAAAAGGAGGAAATGAAACGACAGCAATTTTTACGGTTGCAGTTTTTCCCCTGTATGGTGCATGCATAATATGACATTGAGTATGAATTACAAAATAGAACTAATAACATGTATACATCGTTTCGGTGTTGGTTTTGGTTTCGATTTCGTCTTGTAATAAATCCAGTCGCAGTAGGCCATCAACAATAACAAAAAGCAATTGCAGCAAATGCCGTTTTTTTACGTGGAATATGAACTTCTGTTTGATTTTTTTTGTTCATCTTTTAATGGAATAAAATCGATTATTTGTTTGGTACAGATATTTCTTGGAGTTTTGCTCCATAGGTCACAAGTATCAACGAGTCCAGTTAAGTTTGAAGATCAAACGGCTGAAGCTTCACAAGCATCTAATAAGGCTGTCGCACAGCAGCGCTTAGATTTAGGACATTTATTTCATCATGATGATCATCACGAACATCATCATGTTCAAATTCAACATGTCCACGATCCCGGTTATTGGAAGAAGAAAGTAGTATGGAAGGCTGGCTGGAAGAAAATATGGTAAATACGACATCAATGTGTATTCTTTTGACCTCTAATTGATTGGCCAATATTAATATTTTTTTTTTTTGATTTAAAAGGAAAACAGCAAAAAGTTATAAAAAAATTTGGATCCCGCAATGGGTGCATACCGAACACGCGGTTGTTAGAGACATTAAAGTTCCAGCATGGAAACAGGCAAGTCATGTCGTTTTGATTTATTTTTGTTTGGTGAAATACTTTCCGTTTTTGAGCGGAAATAATTCTTTTGAGAGTCGAAAGTGTTGTTCGAATTCCAAAATATACAGTGCTTCTGAAAAATGAAATGAATTGTAATTCGGCACGGCTAATAAAATTTCATTTGGAGCGTGTGCGTGTGTGTATAGTTACTCACCTGTAAATATTAATGAGATAAATAATAAATTAATAATATTTTTTGCGTTACTAGATTTGGAAGCCAGTGTGGCGCGAAACTCAAGTACCTGCTTATAAAGATCATGAGGTAGCTGATTGGAAAAAATACTACAAGCCAGTCTGGGTATGTCATTAATGAATTTTAGCAAAGAAAATTCATTCGTACGTGTTGTTTGCACAAGTTTTTGGTTTTTGTTTGTTTTAATTATACCGTGTTTCAAAGCATCTTCGGTTTGCCATTCACTACGCAATTAAGATGATGCGTTTTTTGGCTTGGTTTAGCCACTCACGCTGTAAATGTATCATGTTTTCAAGATTGTTTGTCTTAATTTGTATAACTTTTTGATACACTTCAATAGATACCAACTAAAGTGCCTGGATGGAAAGACATTCAAGTACCAGATTGGAAGAAAACATGGAAACCAATTTGGCGTGAAATTCAGGTGAGGCTATTTTATTCATTATTTAAAACGTAAAAATTGTAGATTATTTAAAGAAAACCGTTTAAATGAAATATAATTTCAAAAATAAATGAATGATTGAGAAAAAAAACTGGGTTCTGATCATTTTTAGGTTCCGGCATGGAAAGACATTGAAGTACCAGCGTGGAAACAGATTTGGGTGCCCGAATTAGTCAAAGTGAGTAAACAGAAATATCCAATGAGAGGATGTGAAGACTTCAAGTCTCTTTGAGCCGACGGTGGCGCACCGAATTTCAAAGGGGACGTCAATGTAATTTTACAACTCAAATCGAAACTAAACAGCGCGCCAATTTTAAAATTTGCTGTCATTTCCTCCCATTGGAAATATCCGTTAACATATTTACTCTGTTTTAACAATTAAACGGGTGAAATTATTTTTAGGTTGGAATACCAGGCGAAAAATTCTTGGGTAAAGATCACGAAGGCTGGGAATACACATCCCATGACCTCTGGAAGAAGAAAGTTGTATGGCGTTCACACTGGAAAAAGATATGGTATGACATAACTTATTCAAAACAGATGCGGTGAAACAAATGACATCATCTCCATCTCATTATACTTTTACTTTTTAAATTTGTTTTCATTTCGTACGTTGTTTTTGCTCACATCTAGGAAACCGGCTAAGAAACAAATTTGGGTACCAAGCAAGGTAAATACAAGCGATGAAATCTCTATTTATATCGTCTATTGTAATTTTAAAGATAAGATAAAAAGAACTTCTGTTTTATTTTCGAAATAAACATTTAAAAATCATTTTTTTCATTGCAGAAATTAGAATGGCGCGAAGAATGGAAGAAAGTGTGGTGAGTGTTTACTCTTTTATAATGAAAACACATTAATCAATAGATAAATCGATTAATAAAAAAACGGAGTTTCGGGGAATTTGTTGATTTGTTATCGGAATTAAAATAGACTTAACGACGAATGCTCCAAAATAAAAGTCAAACGAATTTGAATTTAAAACTATTTTCACTTCTGATGATGATGTGAATCGATAGCTACTCTAGATGCAAACAAAAAAAAATCTTTAAAAAAAAATAATCGTTCATAGGCGCACTGAGAAGAAGCAAATCTGGTTGGATGACAAAAAATTGGCATGGAAAGAAGCTTGGCAACAAGTGTGGCGCACTGAAAAGAAATTAATTTGGGTTCCTAGCAAAGTGAGTATACACCGATATAATCGATCATTTTCACATATCTAACATTTACGGATTATGTAATAGAAATTGGAATGGGTTAGTGCATGGCAACAAATTTGGAAGATTGCCCATAAAGTTGAACATATCCCAGATAAAAAACTAGAGTGGAAAGAAGGTAAAAAAAGCATAGCAAATTTATTTACATCTATCATAAAATGACCACACAACATTTCGTTTCTATTCGTTAAAATTTAGGATGGAAGCCAATTGAAACAACACACGCGGCATGGCAAAAAATATGGAAGCCAGTGGTAATTAAATTATTATTAACACATCTTAGTCGTTGAAGAACTATCCGTTTACTCAATTTTTTCATTTTCACATGAGACGAAACTCAATTTTTTCATTTTCTTATAAAATCGTGGTAGAGTTTTGCCAAGAATTCAACTCGATTTCATGGTAAAATGAAATTTCAACCCCGAAGTTTCACCGTCATAAATTTCCGTTCGAAACGGTTATATTGAATTTAATCCAATTCCGATTTTTAAAGGTAATAAGCGAATGGTTCCCGACCCCTGACCACCACCATCACCACGAACATGACGATCACCATCATCATGAGCACTGGGATCGCAAAGATACAGAAAACACCGATTCAAAGGTGGTGTGGAAACGTGAACAGCCATCGGCACAAGGACCACCAGGTGTGTCCAAAGTTCAATCTCCGTTAGATGCAAAATCTAATGCACCAGTAGGAAGCACACAGCCAAAGGTTTCTGTGAAAGCAAATTGAGAAAATAAACGCCATCACTATTAAAGAAAGAATAGAACGATAATTAAAAAAAAAAACAAAACAAGATCCGAATGAATGAGATAGGTTTTGCGGATGAGAAATAAAACACACAAACAAAACATAAAAGACATATTAGGTCATAGATTTTTTGTTAATCATATTTAAAATCGCTAAGTTAAATATAGGAGCCTAGGATTTAATCTTAAAAAAACCATTTTGTATGCTGTAAATAGTTACCTAATCGTTCTGTTTTTTTTTTCTCTTCTTAATTGTGCATTAAAAAATAGGCTGATTTCAATTAACAAACAAAACAAAACAAACAAACAAGAAGAGTCAAATATTTTTTATAATGTTGTTATCGATTATGTTGAAATCGGAAACTGGCGTTTTTTTGTCGTGGATTTTATGAATAATGGATCAATTTCACATATCAGTGTTGACTTTTTTTTTCTACCTTCTTTTTCTTTTTTTTTTTTGTTTTTATTTCGTTTCCCACGAAAATGCCATTTATTCTAAAAGAAATTTCATGAAAATTCCGAAAAGTTTGCCGAAATTTGTTTTAGAACTTAAGCGTGTTGATGATAAACAAACAAAAATATGTTATATAAAAAAAAATATTGTTGAGTTGTTATGAATTTTGACTTTTGTACGATTTTAAAGCAAAATAATGACAAGAAATGAAAATACAGATGAAAATCACCTACTTATTTAATTTGGTTTCATTTCATTTTTAATCTTCAAAACGTATAAAAACTGTAAAATTATTTATTGGAATCTGGAGCGCGTTGGCGGTATTCAAGAAAAAGAAGTCGGCAGATTTGAATATTCCAAAAACAATCGATTTAATGAGTGAGTACTTTTTTTATCTGTATTTTTGAACAAAAAAAAAACAACTTTTTTTCCTCTATTTTTCAATAGTCAGATTGTAACGCATGCTTGATGTGAGTATAAAGAAAGAAAGTGGCCAACTTTAAAGAAACTAAAAACCACAAAGCTGCAAGTTGTTCATGTGCAAAAAGTTGAAGAGGAAAAAAAGCGAAATAAATGTTTTATTTTCTTGCCGATAGATTTCTCTGCACGCAATCCATTCATTTTTTTCATTCACGTGATGAAACTTTTGTCAATTGAACGAAGCACATGAGGAAAAAAAACGTTGAGCAAAGAAAACGCGTGTGAAAAGATCATCCAAAGCAGCGTTGAAATTACTACAAGCACAACAATACACAATAAACATTGAAATACGTTGGCACGTCGAAGACCAATTTATAGTAAAGCATTTTGGAAGGTCTCTTTTGAATTCATATTCGCGTTGCAATCAGCGGACTGTTAGCGATTTGTTTCTCTATTGCTCTGTTTTTTTCTTTGCTTCTGTTTTATTTTCATTAGATAGCGAGTAGTGCAAGGTTTTTTTGCGAGATATAGAGAGATAATTCAAGAAAAAAAAGTAAAAGTACACCAAAATGGTCAAAGAATCGAACAAGAATTTATCCGGCGCGCATTTGATACAGAAGCAATAAAAATGTGCGCATTTGATTAGCGATTTTTTTTTAAACTTAACATCAAATCAAACATGCATGCGCCTTAATTATTTCAATGCGAAATTGTATCGATACCCTCTTAAATATGCAATTTGCTTAGGTTATTAGCACGCACATTCAAAACAGTAATACACTTAATAAAACGTAATACGTGCAAGAAAAACATCAACGAATGTATTTGTGCTATATAAAAATAAATAAACAATAAGTTGTTCTCAAATGTCATACGGCTCCTGGAAACTCGCTATGAGTCGATTCGAAATAATTATTGACATAAATTCATTAGCGTTGATTGTTTCGTTTGACTTTCATCCCAAAGCAGAAAAAAACACCTACACACGTGACTCGACCAATTACCTGACATTATAAAAAGCTCGATGCATCTTAATCGAGAGATTATCGTAGCTCGTTTATATTTTTATTTCTTCGTATAAACACTGTCATTGCTTTCACTGATTTTTCCGTCGTGCATTGACCCCAAACATATTTGTGTACATTATCGATATGAGAGGATTCAATATCAACGTAACCACACACACGCATAACTATATATACACACAAATGATTACTAAATCATGATTAATGAGTTTTCGGTTGTCATTTTGTGTATAGGTTTGCGATCATATTGACAAATCAATATAATGTATTTTCGTATGGTCGTTTAGTTTTAAGAATGCTTGTTATTTTTGCCAATGTTGAAAAATCAAGTTTGCTGTTTGCTGATTGGATCATTGTGATTAAAGTAAGAATTACAATAGAGAAAATGGGTGAAAAGAGATTCAGTTACGAACAACATGTTTTTTTTCCTGTAGAAAGAGACATGATGCGCAAAGTGTGCCACTTACCAGAATTTATTTCCTATTAATATAATCGATGTAAGGTAACCTTGAAGCGCATTTTTCCCAACCAATGGCATGGCACCATTTGTGTGCAGAAAATTTTCCATCTAAATTGCCAAGAATAACATTTCCAGATAGCTAAAATAAATAACTTTGACCAATTGGCCCGATGAATTGAACTTTAAACCTCTATTTGATTTCAACATCGCAAAATGCTGTAAAGCTCACATTTTTCTTGTTGATTTGTTGTTGAAGTCAAGAAAGCCATAATCATAATTGCATTTGCGATGAGAAGAGAAGAGTTCTTTGAAATGCATGAAATTGTCTAGTTCCTAGAAAATTGGTAATTAGTTTTCTGTTTATATTTGATTGCATCTATACTAAATCAAATATTTACGCCAATTTGGTACGACGATTGGCGAATTTAGAGGCCCTTCTTATTTCTTTCATATGTGTATGGATTCAACACCACGTATACATAAGTTGCAAAACTTCATTTTGTATCACATTGACTCGGACCTGTTTTCTTCTGTCCAGCAACAGCAGCAAAAGTAGTATATTAATTCAAACGACATACAGAGTGCAACTATCGTACGAACATTGTGGTTACGTCCATTATACGATGTTTCCCTTTGCATTGACGACTGAATAATACACATATATGTATACATGTATCGAATAAATATATACAATATATAATTCTTTATGCTTGGCGTCGTCTTCGATTATTTGGAGCGATACAAACAAACAAACAAAACTATATTAAATGCAAATATCACAACTTTATAATACACATATGTATAGTACATTGAATATTTTGGTATGACACGACGCTTTGCTATCCATATCACTTACACATTTGAGTACGCGGTGTAGTGCACAACGCACCAAAGTCTCGTGTGTGTAGTAAAACTTAACAAGGCCATGCAGTAAAAAGATATTAACAATTTTTTTTTGTTCATCGTTTCAACAAAAATGTACAAAATCTGTATGGGGTTTTTTTTTCTTCTGTGTTTCTTGTTTTACTTGTTGCGTTCAATACATATCAAATTGGTGGAATCACATCCAAACTGGTTGATCAGTCAGTCAAATGTTTGTTCACAGATTTAAGTTTAAGCGATATTTTTATATACGCGCGCACGAGTGTGAACAGTTTAATAATATAGCACATTCCACTGATTCGTGCAAAACTGTAAACAAAGTAATAGATCAAGCAAAAGGTTTTTGTTGTTTTGGTTCGACCACTTGAGTAAAGGACGATTAATAACAACTTTTTATGCATGTTATTTTAGCGTAAATATTAAGAATCGTCAAAGTCATTTTGTCTGTCTCTTTTTCTCTCCACTTCCTCTCCCTCTCTCTCCCTCTCTCTCTCTCTCTCTCTCTCTCTCTCTCTATCTTTCTCTTCAGACCAACAAAAGAAAAAAAAACTTTTTACGCAGTATCTCCAATTTTCAAAAAAAAAGATGTGTCTACCATTAATTGCACATACACATTAACGAATTAAATCGTTTTCATTCATCGTAGATTTCCGAGAGACATTGAAGCAGCATATATATATGGTTTTATTGGCGTTTCATATTCTATTGTTACTGATTTTCTGAACGATGCGTTCATTTTAGTTAACCTTTCTTGCTAAGACAATGTGTGCATGTGTGTATGTGTGGTACATACATGGGCACGGAAAAAATTTAAGAGGGGGGGGGGTCTATCAGCCAATCAAAAACCCTAGCAAATCGAAAGAATTTTTCTCTCGAGAGCACTTTTTTTACGAAAATCCCTTCTAAAGTTGATTAGCAAAAAAAGTCTTCACTTTCCTGTGAAAAATCCCTAGCAAATAGGAAGATTTCTCAGCTGCCGTCGAGGGGGGGTTATCCGGACTTACACCCTCCCTGTGCCCATGTATGGTGTGGTACATATATGTATGCTACAAGTCGTATCGCATGTGCTTTTCATTCTAAACGATGGACTATTGGAGCAAGAACAATGTGGAATGAAAAAAAAAAAGAATAAACAGACAAGCTGATTAAATATAGGTCAGGTTTGCGTATAAAGAAGAACAATGGATAAACGAGCTCTATAAAAATAAAAATTTTATTTTCCGAATTTAAATATGTATTTATTGTGCATGATGACTGTTATCGACTTCGAGTAAAAGTCTTCTAGTCAATTCTAATCTCGATTCAAAATGTCCAAATCGAAAATGTCAATGTTACACAATAGAAAAAAAAAAACAAATTCAAAAACCAAATGAAAAAGTCAATGAATACGCCGTCATATACAAAATTATTTATATGAATCGTCGTCAAAATTCGCCTCCGTTGTTCATCCGAAAATAAATTTACGATCCGCTTGAATCGACGAACATCATCACGATGACAATTTCCATTGCATTCTTTGTTTTGACACTTTTTAAGTGCGTGCGAATTTTCATTTTCAGCTCACACAATCCATTTAACGTTGTATTTGCTAATATCTATCGGACCGAGGTGAGCGAGAGAGACGCGGGACGGGGGAACGGGAACAGAGAAAGAACTACAGCGACCGATATCCATTGTTTAACTCGGCTTTCGATTTGTGAGCGATAATATTGCAATCGTTGCTGTGCACGGACGTTATGATTGCTTTCGTTGAACACAGCGTGGAATACAATCAACAAAAATTAATTTTAATATATGGATCAGTTGTCACCCAGAATCGTATTTCAAAATGAAAAAAGATAATAATTGTACGCCATAATAAATTTTGTCGATGACTTTGCGTCAACTGGCCATTTCGATCGATAAAACAACAAAATCATAATAAACATGCATGCGAACTTATCAATGCTGTCGAAATGTTGGACAAAATGCAAAGAATGTGTATTTTTGTTTCTTCTATGCTATCCAAATTGACAGCGATCCTCATCACATCCACCTAAATGAGAATTTTGACAATGACAGACCCTCAATTTTATTGACTGAATTATTATTGATGGCATATTCAATGCGAATAAATAATTTCGAAATTTGAGAGCATTTAATATGCATTTGTTGCGTTGTTGTTGTTTTTTGCTATCTAATTATGAATCAAAGATATTAATATACAAATTGGCTGTGTTGATTCATGGAGTTTGGTGACTACGAACAGAGTGGAGACCTTCGGTGGCATCGAGTGCAATTTATTTGAGCGTAAAAGATATATGCATCCGAGAAATGCATCATTTAAATGCAAAAACACACACATATCATATGTATCTATAGAACGAAAACCGTCAACTTTTAACTTTGATGCACAAATTATGTTATTTAACTAGATAATATCTATAATTAGACTGAGTATAGCATTTTTGGCTTAATTGGAGAAAATCATATTGTATATGCAATGTTTTCGATGTATATAAATATATCACTCTATGGTCGCGGTGCTCTCTTATGTGCATCAAATTGGTCAGGACAAAGGTATTAAAGATAACCGTGGAATACTGTACTTAATTCCTTGTCGTGTGCGCCGAATGTTTTGGTATAATTCGTTAAATGTGCCTGTGTGTGTGTGTGTGTGTGTGTGTGTTTGTGTGTGTGAGAGAGAATGTTGTGTTTGGATCTGTTTGAGCAGTTGGTTCATTTTCTGTTTGTGCAACCGATTGTTGTTGTTGTTGCTGTTCTTATTTTCATCGTACAAAAACAGACACTCACCGTAGCAATCGATACACAAATAAATTTGCTATAAATGGCAATGTGGTAAATCACAACTTTAGTATACTACAAAATTGCGAATTGCATTATTATTATTGAAAACACAAAGTAAATGATTCGATACACGGCAAATACATTGTTATGATATTCTTTGTACTTTCCATACATGGTGTTAAATTTAGTTTTCTTTTTCTTTTTTTTGATGCCCATTCTCTTCCGTTTCGTTCTGTGCCATTCATTGTTCTCAAAATATTGATAAAAGAGAAAGATAGATAGATATATATTTTATTTTAAATTTGGCTATGGAACAAGAGACATTTGTATCTGAGCCATTTCAAATTCGCTATTGTATGATATGGTATTAATATATTATTTTCAACGCTGTTTATCGATGATGTTATTGTTTTCTTCCATCATTGGGAATAAAAAAGAAGTGAAAAGCAACAAGGAAAGAAAGTGATTTTTGTTTGCAGCCGAACAAAGACGGAGCGAACCGATGTGTATATCGTGTATGGATTCTACAACAACTATATGCCACCAAAAGTTGTGTGTAACAACTTAGCATACATGTGCACGTGCCATACACAATGTTTTGCTATTCGATGCGAACCCGAACCCGAATTCGTGTAGTCGTAATTCTGTTGTTGTGTATATCGTGTGCATGTGTGCGTGTACATGTATTCATTCTATCCACATATTTCACTGTGTTGTACAGACACTGTGTTGTGTGTACGAATGTATGTGAAACGAACCAAAAGAAGAAAAAAAAAGGTTTTTTTATATGTGGAATCGAGAAGAAAATTAAAAATGGCGACAAATGCTAAACTGTGTTCACTCAGTACACTAGTAGCGCACAAAATTTGTGAAAAAACATCGATTTTATTAAAGTGAAAAATTGTAAAAAATTCTAAAATTGCCAAAAGAGTGATTGGAATTAAATAAATGGTGTAAAATGGCCGAATCAGTGTCAATAAGTGAAGAAAAATGTAAATTCAATGGAACAAATGTGAATGACGTCGTTCCCTTACACTGCACAGCAATGGCGACTGAAGAAACAACACACAACGATTACTATAAAACGTTGATTTGTAGTAGTGGTGCTGGCAGTGTGTCGTCTCTCAGTTTAAACGATACGATTAGAACAACACTAACCGTGCCTGCAGAAACACCAAGAGCAGCAACAGCAGCAAAAGAAGCAGCAATAACAACAACAACCACATCAGTTGTAGCAGTAAAAGCAGCCGTTACACAAAATACATCAAATACAGATTCAACTGAAGAAGAAAAAATGATTCCAAACGTTTTTGTCAACGCAAATGTTGCCGGAAAATTGGGCACAAATCATGTCCAAAATAATAATAATAACAACAACGGCAATAATCATAGTATTTTAATGAAGACAAAACGCAGACGAAGAAAATCATCGAAACAAAAGACCAATTCAAAACCGTACAAAAAATCCAATTGGAATTATCAAAAACGCGCTCGCAATGGATCATCACGACTTGTTCCGTACAATACAAATCAATTTTTAATGGAAGAACATATGCCAGAAATAAATGCCGATTGCAGTGGACGATACCGTGATTCGAGCTTTTCATTTGATTCGGACAATGACAAAGAAGAATATTTGTCAAAGGAATTTTGCAGTGTGTACGAAAATGCACGCAGCGATCGTCTATACGAAATGACAAAATCACAGCTGATACAGGAATATCTACAGTTGGAAGCCAGTTACGATAAATTAAGCAATAGTTTAGGTAAAGTGACCGATCAATTGGATAGTCAAGATGGTGATGAAGCAGTCAAGCGGCTCGCAGATCGTGTACAGGAGTTATCAGCCGAAAATTTAGGTAGGTGTATTTTATGAATTTTTCTTTTTGTTTTTCGCGAAAATTAAAAAAAAAAAAAAAAAAATGAATTTTCCGGATTTTCTACACCCCACACAATTTGTTGGTTTGTTTCTCTGGTGAAATGTATGGAAACCGTTAATATTTGATTTTTTTTTCTATTGATTATACAATACATACAACGGATATTATTGCATGTTACACCGGATTCAATATCAATTATCTGGTTTGTCATTCAAATGGTATTTGGGTCCCTAGTTCACATTTCACGTACATCGGTTTTTATTTTCCTGTGATTCTATATATTTTACTTTTTACCGCGAGCGGGTCGAACACACATAGTGACGTGTGTTTAAATTAAGCGAAACATTAGCGCTCCCGCAACGTTTACAATACGTTCTATTAGTTTGGTTGATAATTTTGTGTACGTCGAATTGAGGTATTTTACTGGGTTTGCGTTAGTGTAATAATTGTCCATTTTTATTTCAAGAATCTATTCTCAGTGATGACATTCAAACACTGACCCACACAAAAAAAAAAAACGAAAAATCCTTAAAAATAGTTATAAATTTTTATCACAATATTCAATGAGAATTTTTTTTTCGATTGTCAATATTCGTTGATTGACCTTCAATTGGTATAGCCGAGATTTTTTTTATGGTTTAATTTATGCATATATTTTGGATCGACCAATCAACAAAATCATAATATAAATTGCAGGTTAAAGTAAATTTTTACGACCTACGTGATGAAGATCACACTGTTACAGACACACACACATACTCACACATGGAGCACAAAATGTGATACAAAGTGAGCGAGAGAGAGAAAGAGAAAAAAAGTTCGTTTTTATCGTTTATGTACATTTTTGAAGAGCACTTTTATTTTCGTTCTGTTGTCGCTGCATTCGAAACGGGCGCGCATTGTGAAAACAAAACACAAAGCGAATACACTAAGAGGGTGATGCAGAGCAACAACAACAATAAAAAAAAAACCAACAAATATTTTTCAGAGAGAACATTTTTTGGTAAAATCGTTCACTGGTTTTGTGTGCGTGTGCATATGTTCGCTACGTATTTTTGTAATGAAATGACATAGTACTATGTATAAGCTTACATTCAATGTGCACAAATACGAAGCCTGTTTACTGTCTATATTTTATAGTTTGTTGTTGTTTTCTTTCTTTTATTCTTCTTCTTCTCCTCTTTCTCTCTCTCTCTCTCTCTCTCTCAATGTTCTGTTTTCGGTATTTGTATATCGTTCATACGCGAGATTACATCCATGTGTTACATAGACACAATTTAGGTATTGCCACAGGCATAGGCCTCAATGCACTAGAATTAACATTCATTTAGGATGTTAAGCGCTCTTCTCGCAATGTAATAAATGAACGCTTTGCATTTTCAACATTCAACTAATTGGCAATTCTTTTACGTTTCATTTTGATTGAGCAAACAGAAAATCCAGATAAATCCCATACATATATTGTGTTGACTATTTTCGTATGCGATAAAAAATATATAATATTATTTATTTGACATGTCGCCATTGACGACGATGACGACATAAAGTAACCAACTTAATTTAACTTACTTTACATGTGTACACAAAATGTTTACATTTTATTTAAAAAGAAAAAAAAAACAATTTTATAGTTGTTTATCATTATTTCATTACGTTAAAAATCGTTTAATTTCATTTTTACAAACAGAACTGCGACGACAAATGGCCGATATTCGAAGTAGAGACAGTCGACATCATAACCATCATGGATCACATCACAAATCGTCACATACGTACAACAATCGATCGGTTACCTCAAACACAACAAATCATAAACATCATATGGCAAGCAGTGAAGACAGCGAAAGTGATAGCAGCTCTAGCTCAAGTAGTAGTAGCAGTAGTAGTTCTAATTCAGACAGTTCAAGCAATTCGAATTCATCAAATCGAAGTAAAAGTTCACAAATGAGCGGCATCAGCGATAATGCTGATGAATGTTCACAACTGTTGATCGAAAATGAATGCGGCTTAGTGGCTGACGACGATACGACGAATTGTATAGCAACAGCAGCACAGGCAACGACAACAACAACACTCAACCAAATCATTAGCTCATAAGGTGTTTTCTTTTTCGCACACACAAATTAAAAACAATGTCTCATAGTGTGCGTGACAGAATATCGTCGTCGTCGTTGCCGTTATCATCACACCGTTTTGCGTAACGGAGAATAAACATATTCAATTTTGAATTTCAACCAAATGGACTCAAGAACATTCTATCATTCATATAATCACAAATATTCGCCAACTCTCCTACTAACGCACACATAAAACTGTGTTTTTTTTGTGTCATCATCGGATTAAACTTTTCATAAGTTTCATTACATTTCTTTTTTCGTATTATAATTGCACTCATTTTTCGATTTTTCTCATCATTTTTTTTTTTAATTTTTAGTTTATTATGTACCTAATTTTATTCCAAAAAAAAAAACATAAAATACAGAAACTGAAGCGAATTCATTATAATGTCATAGATTAGTATCTTTTGTTTTCATGTATTATTCCAATGAACATTCAATTTTGATGATTTTTTTTTTTTACTCTGTTTTTCCTCCAAATAAATTTTCCAATGGAAAAAATTAGAAAGGAAAATAAATTGTTAACAAAAAAATGTTGAGAATGAAAAAAAAAAAAAACACAAATTCTCAGCGAGAAAAAAAAAATGAAAACAAATCAAAGAATCAACTTATTATGTTATAAACGAAATAAAAAGGAACAAAAGAATGATGATTTTTAGATTTTATAGAACACTTTGCTCTTTTATTTTCATTGAAAAAAACAAACTTAAATCTATATATTTATTTTAAACTTATTCATACCAGATCAACATTTATATAGGTTTCATCTAATTTCCAATTTTGGTTTTCTCGATTAGCATTTTCTCTTTTTCGGAATTGGTGCCGACGGATTTTCACCTTTATAAAATTCCTTGAGTAAATCCATTGCTTGGTCGGCACAAATGTCGCCTTGTAATTTAACATTTGAATTCAATAGGTGAAATACATTGAGCACGGTTGTACCGCCAAATCGATCATTTACACATCCAAATATAATCTCTTTTACTTGTAATTGATTGAGTGCAGCAGCACACATAATGCACGGTTCAACCGTAACTATAACCGAAATTTCACGAAATACATCGGTGTACTGTAAATTATGTTGTTTACAATAATCTAATACTTGATCGATACATATAAATTCGGCATGACGCGTTGCATTCTTTGTTTTATTTACTAAATTTGCACCGTATGCGATAATTTCATCACGATAGACAAACACACATCCAACTGGCACCTCATTTTGTGCATTTGCCGCGTGACCATTTTGCAATGCATCGCTCATAAATTTTTCCATTTTGTTTAAATTGGTTTTTTTACGGATTTGTTCTTTTTCTTAAATTTTTTTATATAATAAAAATGGAAATTAAGTTTTAACGAAAAATACTAATATTGGATCAAACTGTTTTTTTTTTTTTTTTTGAAAACAGTTACGTAACATCACATTCAATGAATCTTTTTTGATTATTCGTTTTCAGGACAATGGGGTCATTGCGTCTATGCAGTTTTCATGTATTTCATGACATCATTGTCGACAAGCCATTGTTTTGCTTTTTCATTCCAGTTGGTGTTGTTCAGTGCTCGTGGACTTGGATGGGCAATGCATTTGTGCTCAATGCGATTATGAATTTCGTTTGACTTGTACAGTTCGTTGATACGATCTTCTACGTAACGACCAACCGAGATGATCAATTCGGGTGAAAATACATCGATGGCCTCCTTCAAATATTTTGAACAAATTTGCTGAAGCAACTTCTTCTTATCGGCTGGCTATATTTATGCAATAAAGAAAAGATGGCATTTTTATTAGAAATTAAAGAAAATTTTCATTGAAATTCTATTTTTTAAGAATGCATATCAAATTAATGGATTTCCTTTACTTTTATTTCAGCAGGTGTAATATTTTTTCCTGACGCATGAAAGAATGCCAATGGACATAGATTGTAAACGAAACAATTGTGAAAGAAATTGTCAGCATCACCGCACAATTCTTGCATTAAACCCCAAAAACGTTGACCACTTTGTTCGGATTTGTCACATAATAGCCCATTGACTGGACGTACAGCAAGCTCGGTATCTGGTTTCTTCACCGAACCGCTCAATTTCATCCAATCGCGTACCGATGGAACATGACCAAATGGTACCTGTATCAAAAACAAAAAAAGTCCATCATGAGAAGTCGATTTACGACAAGTAACATGTATTACACACACAATGAGACAAAATGATTAATTGAATGAATATGGAATGAATATTTTCTTCTGATTTTTTATTTGCTTCAGTATTGGTGTGCAATAAGATTTTATTATTTTCTTCAAATCACTTTTTGCACCATCCAATGTGGCACAAAATTAAAAATGTTGGATTAATAGATTAGTCTGTGTTACCCCAGTTTGAGCCATGCCAAATGGACCTGGATTCATTCCAATGAATAGAACCGGTTTTGATTCGTTCAAATACTTTTTCATATATGCACAATGCAAATCGGACGCATATTCAATTGGATTGTATACGGCCGAAATGGTTGATGACACAAATGAAATGGCTTTCAATTCGGCACTTAAACGACATTCGATATCGTAAATCTTTTGCCAAAATTGTGTTGGCTCGAAAAATGGCGAGGTTATGTCGGTTGCTTGAATTGATGATTTAAGCGATTGTTTGATTAGTTTGATTTTTGGATCGGATGATGTTTTGGATACGGTTTCATTATTTGTGGCAGCACGTTTGATTTTCTTGCGAAGCATTTTTCTATCAACTTACGGTTTACTTTTGCCCAACTGAAATTTCTCGGTATTGTTATTTTAAAAAAATCAGCTCCGTCACTCGTTTGCTATTTGAATTGGCAACTATGTTATGATGTTATATTCTGATGCGCACGATGTATGTGAATAACAACAAAGCAAATGTGACAGTGACATTACTATAATTTTAGTACAAACCATACTTAGTACACAATCTTTGGATTGAAAACTTTTTTTATTAAAGCGCGTGCCATCTTTTGGCGGGTGTTTATCTCATTTGAACAAAGTTTTCAACACAATATTTCATTGTTAAGCTTAATTTCAGTAATATATGCGCACCATCTTTCTAAATTAATTTACCCGTATTTTTTTTTTCATGTGATGAATAATTTCCATTTTTGTTGATTTTTAATCACGAATTTAATTACGAATTGTAGACTAGTTGAGAAGAATTGTATTTGCTTGATTTCAATGTATGAAATTAATTAAGAATGAAAGATTATAAATTTCCTGCACAACAAAATTTTTGAAGGGGAGAACTTGACTTTTTTTCATCTATTCAATAGCTCAGATCGGTTAGCAAAGAATGTGTGATTTAAAATGAATATTTGCTGCCTCTTTCTCTCTCCTCATTTCCAAATTTGCGCACATAATTCACTGTGTCAACAAAATTTGTGACCGAATACCTACCAAATGTCACGCAGCCTTAACAGTAAACAAAACAAATTCCTGAATGTATTTTATGTTCCAAATTTTATTTGTCGATTTCCAATTTATTACAATAAATTTAAATTAAAACTATGCGTTGACCCTAGTCAATATATCTTAGAAGTTCAATGTTGATTTTAAATAATATGTTCGGCAGTTTCTCTTTCCTGTTTCCTCCATCAGAGAATATTATTTATCATGTGTATACATGGTCGAATGGTAATATGTGCTTAATTAAAATAATTAACTCACTTTCCATTTTGGTGCCATGCTAAAATTATCCGTTAGCTATAAAATGTTGTGTTCTATTTATTTTTTTATTTTTTCATGTGTGTCAGTTCAGTGGGCGAGTATTATATAGTTTATTCTTCGTTTCTACATTCTAAATATTCTGACTGTATGCGATAGGTGCTGAAAATTCACTCTAAAATACCGCAAACAAGAAATTCATCTTTTCATGCAAATTGTTTTTGGTGGATAATAATAGAATATTTGAAGAGAAATTGAAACATCCCCAAAAACAAAAATCATTCATCAGCGAATGCGATTCACGTGTATTGTAATTTGGCGCATTGGCACACCAATATTATTCATTCCCTACTCATCTAATTCTAAATAAATACAATACGTTCAACGCTATATCAGTTCGTTTTGCTTATGACCATTCATTAAATTACAATTACAATTAACTAAGAAATGTTGTTTTATGTATGTTTTTTTGTGTGTTGTTGTTGTTGCGAAAATTGATTTTTAATTTTATTTTGAGACGCTGTGTCATTGCTTCTCGAAATTGATTTGATTATATTCGTAATTTTCGTGCTTTTCCCAAATTAATCCATTCGGTTGGGATGCTGTTGGTGCGTGAAAGTTTTGTTCGTTGACATTTTGGAAGCTTTTCAGGGCGTTCACAACGTTTGCTCACATTCCAATATATGTAGCCTTCAGGACATTTATAAACGGTGCCTTCGAGTTCATTTCCATTAGCGCGACGTGCGCATTTTATGAAAGCGGGTCCACATTCATCATCAACAAATGGATGATATCCGGCTGATGGGCATAATGGTTCATCCGAAACCATAATCTAAATAAATCAATCAAATATTCAAAAATCATTTTGTATTCGATAAATTTCTCTTATTAAATTGATAGATTAAAATGAAAAAAAAAAAAATGGCATGCATAGTTACATTGTCTTTAATTACCATATTTCGCGGATCAATCAAATATTTTAGTGCTCGAGCACTGTTGCTGGGGCAACTATCGGACTTAACACATTTGCATTGTTTCTCATCGTACGATGTGTCCGGTGGGCAAGTGAATTTTGTGATGGTCATATCGTCGCTACCATCATTTTCTGTACATTGATAGAACATGTTGCAATCCTTTGGATCTTGACGGAATGCACTTGGGCACACATAAACTCCTTGGTTTGGATTCGTTTCCGGGCATTCTTGTGACGGTGGACTACTGGTTGTTGTGCCTTCGGTTGTACCTTCGGTTGTACCTTCGGCTGTAATTGACAAAATCAATTAATGAATAATTTCTCAATGTGGAATTATAATTAATGTGTTTCTTTACTTGTTGTTGGTTCTGTTGTGGTGGTGGTGGTAGTAGTTGATTCAGTGGTTGCAGCTATAATAATACAACATAATGTTTTAATTTAATATTTAATTTCAATATTAAAGAAGAAACATGAGAGTATTGGAAAACTATTCGATTCACGTAAAATCGTTTACTTTAACGTTTGATTTTATTCAATATTTATTTACCTGTTGTTGATTCAGTCGTCGCCGGTTCAGTGGTGGATGCTGTGGAAATTGAATTTGTTAATGGAAATTCGGATTATTGTTCGGTATTTTTAAGGATTATGGATATTATTTTCCATTATTGGTGTGTTTTGTTGCTTTTTTACTCGTTAAATTAGTATTTTAAAATGAAGTTAAAACATTCGTCTCAAGGGAATGGAACATTAAATTGTAGCAATTTTTGAATACTTATGCAACTTACGTGTTGTTGATTCGGTTGTAGTTTGTTCGGTTGTAGTCGATTCCGTTGTGGAAACTATATCGTAAAAAATGGTTGCAATAAATGCTTTAGTTCACATATAAAAATGCATTTTTTTTTCTCTTAAGCCCTACCTGTTGTTGATTCCGTTGTTGTGACAGTTGATTCGGTGGTTTGGGCTGTAATAAAAAAAAGAAAACTGTAAAATTGGAATCAATCAATCAATATGGATTAAGAATAAAACGTACGTGTAGTTGACTCGGTTGTGCTTTGAGTTGTCGATTCTGTAGTAGTTGTAGTTGATTCCGTTGTGGTGGCTATTTTTTGAAATAGAAAAATTGAAACGTGTAAATTGCTTGAATGACTGAACGTTTTAATGGAGAGAAAGAAAAAACGAAAAAAAGAACCACGTTTCAATGAATTTCTAATGCAGCATCGATGGAAAAAATGCCCTGACCGTATTCGATAGCTATTGTGTTCAATAGATTTCGCTTGTCGGCACAATACACTGACAAATATGGTGGTACAGTGTTTTGCATTTTGGCAATCGATGAAATAATACATAAATAAAGAAACTGGTGACCATAACTATCAGTAAAATGTGTATGTGAGTACAGTCGCATTGATTAAAGCCAACTCTTATTCATTGGCAATCGCTTTAATCGCCGGGATAATTGATTTTCGATGAAATATTTTTTTAATTGGTGGTACATTGATTGCATGCAAATTTTGATATTAATTTCTTACGTGTCGTCGATTCGCTGGTAGTTGACTCTGTAGTAGTTGGCTCCGTAGTGGTTGTGGTGGTTGAACTTTCTGTTGTATTGCATGGGGGTGGGGCTGCTGTTGTAGTCGTATTCGATGATGAACATTTTACATTCGCCTCATAATCACAAGTGGTTATTTCGTTATTCCAGGCGGTTCCCTCGGCACAATTGAATTCGTATCGCGTTAAGCCACCTTTTCCATTATCGACGCATCGATAGAATTTCTTGCAATCTTTGTCATCACCAATGAATCCCTCCTGTCGGCAGACACCATCATTTGGTGGTGGTTTTGATGTTGTTGTTGGCGGTGCTTGTGTTGTATTTCCTTGTGTTGAAGATTCGGTTGTTTGCGGAGAACCTACGACAAATTAAATGATTTATTATTTTTGTTTGGGACATTTTTTAAGATATTTATTTTACTTGTTGTTTGTTGTGTTGTTTGTTGTGTTGTTGATCCCGGTGGAGAAGTTGGTTCAGATTTACCCGCACATCCGGAAACACTGTCGGCATAATCACATGTCTCTAATTCTTGGCTCCAAGCCGTTCCTTCTGGACAATCAAAATCGTATTTGGTAAAACCTCCCTTTCCATTGTCGACGCATCGATAGAATTTCTTGCAATTGCTACTGTCAGCCATAAATCCTTCTTTTTTGCATTTATCATTGCTTGGTGAACTTGTTGGTTTTGGTGTCGTCGATCCAGATTGTGTTGATGATTCAGTTGGTTTTGGTGTCGTAGATCCAGATTGTGTTGATGATTCAGTTGATTGAGGTTGACTGGACGATGATTGTGTAGTTTGTGGTGTTCCTGTTGTGGCATCGGTTGTTTGAGGTGATCCTGAAAAGCAAAAACGTTTCGATTTATATTTATTTTATTTTAGAAATTTGTTTTTTTTCTTTTTGCTATACCTGTTGTCGAACTGGGCGACGGTGTTGTTTCAACGTTTTTACATTTGCCCGAGTTACCGCTTGATGGATAATTACAGCCTAAGATTTCTTGATCCCAAACAGTACCAGGACCACAAGTAAATTCATATTTATTGAAACCTCCTTTGCCATTGTCAACGCATCGATAGAATTTGCTGCAATCTTGACTGTTTGGCATGAATCCTTCTTTAGTACATTTATCCTGGCCAGATCCACTGCCTCCGTTCTGGTTACCAGATTGAATTTGATTTGAAGACTCTTGATTTTGTGATGATGACGAAGAGCTATCGCTTCCACTACTTGAACTAGATCCATTTTCTTGAGACTGACTTCCTTGTTGATTGTTTTGGTTTTGTGATGAAGATGAAGAGCTGCTACTTCCACTGCCAGAGTTCGATCCACTTTCTTGTGATTGACTGCCTCCATTTTGATTATTCTGATTTTGTGATGATGACGAAGAGCTTCCTGAACCAGATGAAGAGCTAGATCCCGATTCTTGAGATTGACTACCTCCATTTTGATTATTCTGGTTTTGTGATGAAGATGAGGAGCTACCACTTCCACTTCCAGAGTTCGATCCGCTCTCTTGTGATTGGCCGCCTCCATTTTGATTATTTTGATTTTGTGATGAAGATGAAGAGCCACCACTTCCACTGCCAGAGTTTGATCCACTTTCTTGTGATTGACTGCCTCCGTTTTGATTATTTTGATTTTGTGATGATGACGAAGAGCTTCCTGAGCCAGATGAAGAGCTAGATCCTGATTCTTGAGATTGACTACTTGAACCGGCACAACCGGTGTCCTGAATATGGTTACAAGCTTTGATATTATCATCCCATGCAGTTCCTTCGGCACAACTGAAGTCATATCTGGTGTAACCGCCTTTACCATTATCAACGCATCGATAGAATTTCTTGCAGTCTTTCTTATTGGCATAGAATCCTTCTGCTTGGCAATCACCCGAACCCCCTTGATTTTGTGATTGAGATGAAGATGATGAACTACCGCTTCCACTGCTCGAGTCCGATCCGCTCTGTTGGTTTTGACTGCCTCCATTTTGATTTTGTGATGAAGACGAAGAACTACCGCTTCCACTTCCAGAATTCGATCCATTTTCTTGTGATTGACTGCCTCCATTTTGATTATTCTGATTTTGTGATGATGATGAAGAACTACCGCTTCCACTTCCAGAATTCGATCCGCTCTGTTGGTTTTGACTGCCTCCATTTTGATTTTGTGATGAAGACGAAGAACTACCGCTTCCACTTCCAGAATTCGATCCGCTCTGTTGGTTTTGACTACCACCATTTTGATTGTTTTGATTTTGTGATGAAGATGAAGAGCCGCTACTGCCACTGCCAGAATTCGAGCCACTCTGTTGGTTTTGACTGCCTCCATTTTGGTTATTTTGATTTTGTGAAGATGAGGATGAGCTGCCGGATCCAGACGATGATCCCGATCCATTTTCTTGTGATTGACTACCTCCATTTTGATTATTCTGATTTTGTGATGAAGATGAGGAGCTACCACTTCCGCTGCCAGAGTTCGATCCGCTCTCTTGTGATTGGCCGCCTCCATTTTGATTATTTTGATTTTGTGATGAAGATGAAGAGCCGCCACTTCCACTGCCAGAGTTTGATCCACTTTCTTGTGATTGACTGCCTCCGTTTTGATTATTCTGATTTTGTGATGATGACGAAGAGCTTCCTGAGCCAGATGAAGAGCTAGATCCTGATTCTTGAGATTGACTACTTGAACCGGCACAACCGGTGTCCTGAATATGGTTACAAGCTTTGATATTATCATCCCATGCAGTTCCTTCGGCACAACTGAAGTCATATCTGGTGTAACCGCCTTTGCCATTATCAACGCATCGATAGAATTTCTTGCAGTCTTTCTTATTGGCGTAGAATCCTTCTGCTTGGCAATCACCCGATCCACCTTGATTTTGTGATTGAGACGAAGATGATGAACTACCGCTTCCACTGCTCGAATCCGATCCGCTCTGTTGGTTTTGACTGCCTCCATTTTGATTTTGTGATGAAGACGAAGAACTACCGCTTCCACTGCCAGAATTCGATCCATTTTCTTGTGATTGACTTCCTCCATTTTGATTATTCTGATTTTGTGATGATGATGAAGAGCTACCGCTTCCACTTCCAGAATTCGATCCGCTCTGCTGGTTTTGACTACCACCATTTTGATTGTTTTGATTTTGTGATGAAGATGAAGAGCCGCTACTGCCACTACCCGAATTCGATCCGCTCTGTTGGTTTTGACTACCACCATTTTGATTGTTTTGATTTTGTGATGATGATGAAGAGCTACCGCTTCCACTGCCCGAATTCGATCCGCTCTGTTGATTTTGACTGCCTCCATTTTGGTTATTTTGATTTTGCGAATTTTGGCTAGAGCTGCTAGATCCCGATCCAGAATTTGAGGATGATTGTTGATTTTGACTGCTTTGATTGTTTTGACTATTTTGGTTCTGCGATGATGACGACGATGAACTGGAATATTTTTTTTTATAAAAATGCCATTCATTAGATTATTTAGATTCAACATTTTTGAATTCAATTATATGGATTTGGAAATATGTTTGATGTGTACCTGCTGCCACTTTGACTTGAAGACGATGATTGTTGAGATTGTGAGTTATTTGATTGCGATTGTTCTTGCCATGAACCGCTTGAAGAGCTTGATGAGCTTTGCGAATTGCTGCTTTGCCATTGATTTGAAGACGAACTATCCTGAGCAACCTGTGAACCGCCACAATTTTTAACTTCCGAAGGATAATTACAGGCTAAGATCTGTTGATCCCAAACAGTGCCAGGGCCACAAGTAAATTCATATTTACTAAAACCTCCTCTGCCATTGTCGACGCATCGATAGAATTTGCTATGTAAATAAGAACATTCATTACTTAACCGCATTATGCGTTCAGAACAATAAAATATGAGTCAAACGATAAATACCTGCAATCGTTTGAATCGCCCATAAACCCTTCTTGTGTACATTTTTCACTGGGTTTTGGTGGTGATGGTGATGGTGTTGGTGTCGGTGTCGATGTCGGTGTTGGCGTTTGTGTTGGTTTTCCTGTTGTTGGTGCTGGCTGTGGTGGTTGATCGTTTCCTGGTTCTAAGCATAGACACCGACCAATATCAATAGAGTGCAAAAGATAAATGAATTATTGCATATTAAAATCTTACCACCACTATCGACTTCATTTGCACTGCTATCGACTTCATTCGCAGTGGTACTAGCACATTCGGGCCGACCGGCATCGTTTGGATGGACACAATTATCGGTTATTGTAGAAAAAACCGTACCTGGTCCACAGCTAAATTCATATGCTTTTAGTGTTTCCGATTCTTCTTTAACGCATCGATAAAACTTTGTACAATTTTGTGGATCTGGTTGGTATCCTTCGCTTGGACATTTAAATGTTGAACCTGTTAAACGGAACCATAGAACGTATGTCACATCGATTTTGTTTTATACAATAAGAGATTATTACAAATGTATATTTGTTCTTGCATGCGTATAAAATGCATTCCAAAATTCCATCACAAGGTATTCTAGCGATTCGATTTATCGGATCTATTTGGTAACCAAATTCATTGAAGCACAAATTTGATAATAAATCATAATATAATATGACCACAAGCATCGGAAATGGAAATGCAAATGCAATTGTGAGATCGAAACGGATTTCATTTGTTCATTAATGCAGGATGCAAGAACAGGTCTCTCTTATCCATTTGTCATTGACATTATTTCGAGATCATTATCAAGTTGGTAAATATTCTAAATTGTTCATTTAACGCTGAGCATTTAATAATGATATGCAATCGTATGTGTATTTGTGTCTCTTCGGTTTGTGTATCTATATAAATTGTTTGCACACATACTGAATGCTGAAAAAAAAAAACATGTGATGCGTTGACATGAACAGTCCAATAGCTAATTATATATTTGATTTATTTGCATTGTAGTTGTTGTTGATTTGGTCATTTTTATTTTCTTGATTTTTTGTTTCTTCGCTAGCGCAGAGCAAAAATGTAACTGGAAAATGGAGTTCATTCAAATTCATAAATCACGCGAATTTCGTACGTTTTTTAATGATTAAACTTATAAATTAGTTTTAAAAAGTTCCTTAAGACTTCCCATTCGGGCGGTATGTGAGTAATATGCTCAGAACGGTCTCTCGCTTAAAATACAAATGTAATTCACAGTAGAAGAAAAAGAAAACACACAAAGAAATTTATGTTGGTTTGTCTTTTTTTCGCATTACACATTACTTAGAGTGCAGTAGTGAGCTTTACAGATTGGACTATAGTTACTTTTAATTAAACAAATTGATAACTGGTTCTTGTTCGAAATGGCTGTGTGTTCCTTTTTGATTTACATTCTGTTCGAATGTCCATTAGTAAAATGACTAATGCAGTTCCTCTGGCAACCTGTTTCGATTCTACGTCGGCAAATTTCATTCGGTGGAGTAGTCGACAACAACCACCATAATAACGACGACGCAACACGAGAGCTTTCACTTCCGTATTACAATATATACAGAGTTGTTACGTTGCATTTTCACCAGTATCATTGTCTAATTTCAATAGTGTTCTCAAACAAAACAGTAATGAACCGAATGTGAAACATTGTACAATGTACATACCTATGGATTGAATTAGCTGTCGAGCATCCAACACCAATTAATTTGTTTGATTCCATCAACATTCCAACAAGCATTTAATCAAAATTCATGAGTTTAATTCCCATTGATTAGTGGACGAATTCGTTTGAATTGGATAAATTTAAAAATAACTGACACTGGCGACAAAACAAAGGAACTACACCAATTGAACCGTGAAACCAGAGTTTTGCTCAACGCTGCTGCCATCCACAGCATATTTAAATATCTTGCTGAGAATGCGTCGTCTGTCGCATGCGAAGGTAGGTAGCAGTTTTATATAACAGCGAACAACAATACATGCATTGTTCTCTAATCAATCGTTTGAATGTTTTGAGTCACATAATCGTGAAGAGAACAATGCATACATTCTTGTTCACTGTGATGTAAAAACTGCCACGTACCTTCGCATGCGACGAACGACGCATTCTCAGCCAGATATTTTAATATGCTGTGGATGGCAGCAGCGCTGAGCAATACTCTGCGTGAAACTGTGAAATTTATGATATATTATAATTGCATTGTTCCGTTTGTCACTTCTGTTTACATAGCTGCTATAGCAATATAGCTTTTTCTATATCTTCTTGTTGCTCTTCACCTTTTATTTTGCTTCGTGGATTTTTTAAATATAAAAATATGTTGCATTTATCATTGAGATTATATTGAGATATTTTCAAACACCTTACGTCAGGCGCTGAAGTAGAGGGACAACAATAAAAATGATTGTTATAGTAATTGTAGCTAGTCACTTCAAGTATTGTTGCTTCATTTCATCACCTGATGTGACCATTCTGAATCAGCTAGCTGAAAATATCTAAATATATCGATCTTTTTTCTTTTATCTGAGTAACTGCAATAATTTCCATCAATTCCGACGCTAATACAATAGAGATCATATTGTAAATTTGTGAAGGTATTTCAGGCTATATGTGCTTTTTGTTTATCAACTCTATCACCTGGTGTCGACTCTCGACAATGAATTCATATATTGTCATAACTATATTGCACACTTTATAACCGTATGCTTAATAAAATGTGACCCTTGTCTATTTATAGAATTTTATACCATTGAATTTAATACGGTATGGTGTGTGCATTTTATGAAATGGTGAGAATGAACACGGTCCGATCACAATCCAATTATTAATTGGTTCAAACAAAAGGTTTTATTATTGGTGAGAATTTTCCATTTTCCATGAGTTATTACTTTCAAATAGTACAATCAAATTCACAATTTATGCGTGTTCAAACATGACATAATACACGATATGGCACCGCATCGATTGGAATGATTGTGTATAACATTTATAATAATGATTTTGCGTGCGTGCTCAGTAAAAGCGTGTATGCAAAAATCAAGTTATAACTGCGAGGCATAATCGAAACGTTACGTACGAGTGTGTTGCAAATATTTGAAAATGAGCATAATAATGCATAATATTCGCATGGTGCAATCGTGAAATCCTTTTCAAATGAATGTCACCATACACACATGCACACACACAATCACACACGTGCGAACATTCATTTTATAATGCATTCATATATATGCACATTGTTTGAGCAGTGTGGCTGTCACCTTTTTGTATCATTTTGTGATAATGATGTTCACATAATATGGACGTTTTCATATATCAATAAATATGTGAGGCGTATTATATTTGAATTTTCATGCGATTAATTTAAAACTTAATTAACTTCACAATTGTTAATAAATAAACAGCGCAGATGGTGAACAGATTGATTGTGACCATTATACTTTTTAAAGATCATATTTTAATTGGAATAAAATGATGCATCTATTGCCGTGAAATTCAGGTAAAAACTATTTTATTTCAATGTTCAATTAGTATAATGACACCCTCATTGTTCCAATGGCATTATACTCTAAACACATGAAGATAACACAATGGCATAATTTTACGCAATTCATAATTGAAAATTTTCACTGAATTTATCTCGATTGATGTAAAATGAAATGCAAGCATTCACAAACATTTTCTATGCGTTCACATAAAAGCCAATCTAAAAAATCTATTCGAAATCGAAAATGAAATAGACAAACACAAAAAAAAAGGTAAACATTTTTCAGCAAACAAAAATAAAATCAAATATACATGAAATGTATCTGACCAAAATAGATGGCTTTCAGTTCTAAAAATAGACGCATTTTTTATACAAAAGTATACATATACTTAATTATAACAATTATTTCTCTGCTTCATTTACTTGTACATTTGAAATCAGAATGTCTCATTATTTTTCTGCAATTGTGCCATTTTTCAAAATGGCAACTTATTAAAAGCGTTTCGGTTTGTTTCTCGCACACGGAATTACAATTCAAGCTTTAGCTTGATGCGTTCACCTTTTATCTTCAGATAAATACCAAACATATGCCGTCTATGAAACATCTTTTCATTTGGCAAAAGTGTTCACACCTAAAAACCCATGCAAATGCATAATGTTGCTCTTACTTTTTATGTAGCATAGCATTTAATGCTTCATTTTTGTGTACTCACTCTCTTCATTCTACTCATTTCTCACAACTCTATACGTTTCCTTTTACGCATATTCTGTTTTCACTGCAACTTTGATTTAGTATAGTTTTCAGTTTTGTTTGTATTTTGATGCTATGCATCGAAAGCTAAAATAAGCTAACCGTTTATTTGAATGTCATGCTGATTATTTCATAAAATTTCTATAAAAAAATTCGAAAGGCTACAAAATTGGTATTCGAATTTTCATCATCTGACCAAAACCGAGCAGTCACACAAAGCCACAATATACTGTTGTTAGACACACAATGATGCATGCGAGGTGAGATCTTAATTTTATTGTCACGTCGGTGAATAAAATGTCTCTTGTCTTTTTTACCAACAATAATGCTATGATTGCAAGAGCAAAAAATAAAAAGAAGTCTACAATGGTTAATTAAGACATCATATTTTTCGATTGTTGTATTTGTATGCATTTGTATGTACATTTCATGTTCATTCGATCGAATGAAAGAGCATTGCAATAATGCAATTACGGAGTATGATGGCCATTGATTATAAAAATACTAGAAATCCAGTGCATTGTCAACCGATTCTCGGTTCGTTTGTTTTTTTTTTTTTGTTTGCCTCGTTCCTCTTCATCTTCACATTCTTGGCTAAGTAAGCCCATATGAAGCGCTAATGAAATAGATCGAATTGATAGCACACTGCATACAAGAGTGAAAACGAGCTGTTTATTTGTAAAATGCAAAAGAAACGAGTTTCCAATTTAAAATATTGTTTTGAATTGCATTGGCATGTGATTTAACTGTCGAGCTACGGGATTTGCAAAAACATTTGCAAAATAGTTAAGTGAGTGTCTATTTTATTTTTGCAAGGCAACCGAGAAGAATCAGCCACATCAATGGCAAAATCCATATAATATAAAGACTTGACCATGCACAACAATATTCATGATGCTTAGGTCTCTCGTTCTCTTTCTTCCTGTGAAATGTTGCATGCTACAAACAATTTTAAATTCAATGCATCTTCTGAAGTGTTTCGCGAGTATAATGGTTTGTGCTCTTTTCCTTTTCTCAACATGAAGAAGAAGAAGAAGAAAAAAAAAAATGATTTCTCCATTCTTAATCTGTAAGCGGTCTGACACGAGCAAAAGAAAAGAGATTCCCTGTTAAACACCTTACCGTTTACAAAATAAACTGCTCGTTTATTTTGCATAGTTGTCGAAAATGAATATTGCATTCACTTAACACGCCACGTTTAAGAAGGCAGAATTTATTTCGTTTCTTATTTTCTCCGCTTCATTCTTTGCTACATTTTTTTTCCTTCCCATCTTCTGGATACACTGGATACATTTTACTATATATCATGTATTTATATATATATGATAGCACAAACTTGCACAACAATTTAATATTAAATGGAATGAAAGTGAGGAATTTGAAACAAGGGAAATGCCTAAAGGAATATATTACCAAGTCAGCGGTAAATCAATTGAATTATTTCTATTTGAGAATGATTTTCACCTGTTTGTTTGTATGCTGTTTTGTTGCTGTTGCTCAGTTGCTTTAAGCAATTACATTTGAATTCAAAAGGAACTTTTGATTTTCATTTGAATACGATCAAATCAAGTCCATACTACGTTAATTAAGTTTGTGTGTATGCAAATGCATTTGATGTAACTATAAAAGTACTTCCATTTCAACAATATTTTATTCAGATTTTATACTTCGTTCTTTTTTTTTGCAAAGATCAAAAAGACTATCTGACAAGTGCGACTACTTGGAAAACATTACAAAATGCTGAATCGTCTTCGATCAAACCTTTTTAGAGCAAGCGAAAAAAAGGCGTATGCTTTTAATTCAATTCATAGTTTAAACATTCTGATGATGGAAAAAGAAAGTGGTTTTGTGTGTCAAACGTAATGACGAAAATATAAAGGTATAGCATGAAAGTGAAATGTTGTCCATAATTGAAGTCTGGGATTTTGAATATTCAAATTTGTTCCACCATTTCATGGGGGGCATAGTGATGCTTAATGTTTACGCACTATTTGTACCTACTCAAAGAATGACTCAAAACTTTAAACCATGTTCACAGCTTCAGCCCAATAAAAGCTGTTCGCAATATAAAATAACGGCGAGTGGAGCAGGTCATACAAAAATGGTACAAAAAACATAGACATATTTTTTTTATTTACAATCTGTAGACTGATAATTCAAATTGGAATCGCACGCACGATCTTTAACTTTTTTTCACAATTTTTGGGATGCCTAAATTTTAGACACGATTCAAATTTCAATTATACTTCAACAGAGTGTAAATAGAAAATATGTCTATTTAAACTGTGCACGGTGAGCGTAGTAATGCTATTATTTTTCTATTTAAACTCATATTATTTAGTACGTAATTTGTGTGTGTGTGTTGAAAAAAGGAGAAATACGGCCAGCGCGCCTAGACACTCGAGGCCAATGTAATTAGGATAAGCCAGTAATTGGCTACTGCGAATGCATTTTATTTAATTAACCATTTGAGTTTTCAATTGAAATTATACATTACCTTGAGCTGATATGCCGATCACGCAAATGCTCATCAAGAGCAATGCTATATCCCATTGCCATTGACGTTGTATCATTTTAATTATTTTGATCGTTGTTTGTTGTTAATGTTGTTGGTATTATTGCTGATGTAAATTGTATGTTCCTCTCTCTCTCTCTCTCCCTCTTTCTCTGTGAGTGAGTGATGTGTCAGCTGAGCCGATTGACCGTTTGAAAAAGACAAGTAGCCTGAATGTGCGAAAATAAATGAGCAAACAAAAAAAAATCACACCGGAAATTACATTATTATAATTACGAAATGTCATATTTGTTGGACAAAAAAAATGGCCAACAATAAATGGTCATATGTATTAGCTATTAACATACAAATATATTTACATACACCATACCATGTATGTACATAAAAAAGGAATCTCTGACTAAAACATTCAATGTAAAAGTGAACGATCGAGAGACAGCATACACATCATTCCAATAACTATATACTCAACTATACGGCAATAGATATACAAAGCCCAGTATCCATTTTAATTAACTGTTCGGTCTATTGACGTTGTTCGCTTGAATCGTTCAGTTTGCGTGTGTGTCAATGTGGTTGTGTGTGTGCTTGTGCTTGTGTTTCGAGCATTCATAAAAGCTAGCCGATGGTTGCCTCCATTTGACTTAATAAACATTCTATTTTCGATAAGCTTATCGTCCGCACATTTAGTTTTTCGTTTAGCATTTTCTAAATCAACCCAAAATCCTATTATCCCCTCGGATAAATTAAAATAAATGCTTTCATGCTTGAATTCAAATTGACCATACACAAACTCATTTAACCCATGTAACATGTTTGGATTGTTGTTTGTTTGTGTGTTACAACGGTTTTACATAATAATTGATAAGATTGAAATGCCAATATGAAGAGATCGTCGTCATAGTTTGCCTTTGTCGCTCTCTCGCTCTAGAGCTCTCTCACACACACAAACACACAAACAGACACACCATTGTCGTTTCAAGAAACCATCCCAATTTAAATCTGGGGTAGACTTTAATTATTATGTGTGCTTTGAAGCAAACGACGCGAATAAATAACATATGAAAAATATAAAGACATCTTTAATGGGTCAGAAAGTAGAAATCTTTTTAAAATTTCCCATATTGGAGTAGATATATGTATCTGTCACTACAAATGAATCAGTTAACAAACAGAGAAAGATAGAGAGATAGGGAGACATCTCCTATCGAATATGACACAACTTAATTCGTGTATGCGCTTAGCAAAATTCCATCACGTATGAATTAGCAATTGAAGTATAATAGACATGAAAAGAAACACCATTGACACAACAACAATCAGACCTAGCGTGTGTGTACGCGTGACATTAGAAAAGAGCATGGGAACATAAGAAAAACAATAAAATATGTAAATTCGAAGATTCCTTTGCAAACAATTATTATGCACGTGGTTTACCAAATCGTCTTATTTGATTTTGAACCTCAAAACATATACATATACGCACAGAGAGGTGACAGCAAGAGAAAAGACACAGCGAAAGAGAGAGAGAGAGAGAGAGAGAGAAATAGAGAAGGAAAGAAATTGCCGTCACAGCATTGATGGTTTAGTAACAGGCTGAAAACTTCCATGCATAAGAATCATGCTTCGAAAAGTACATTACATTCAAACTCTTAAAGAATATTCGAACGATGCGGTGCTCGTTCATACCGTTGGAGTGATGTGTAAATTTGCCCCGGTTTGTTTACACACCATATTATACGTAAAATTTATTGAATTCATTCATATGTTGACACGATTCAAGCTGGTTGAACGTGTTCAACGCGCCAAGCATATGTAGGAAAAGTTTTCGATTTTCTATTAGGTCTTGGCGTTGGCAAACGAACCGAATTCTCAAACGAATTTTTGATGAATAATTTTTTTCTTAACCAAATGAAATCCGTTCCATGGAAAGAGATTTGATTGCGAAATTATATCAAGAGTTTAAACTTCACGAGTTGTATTCTACAAAAGCAACAACATTATTATTATTTGTATTATTTGCATACATTGCCCTAAATTCGAAATTCATCACTGAAGAATCTATCTCCTTTTTTTTATTTGGCCAAGCTGTTCAGTTTTAAATTCTGGAAATATTTAATTGCTGATTTTGAAGTGAGAACCACTAAATAATATTTTATTTTGAGTGTTCGTTACCTTTATGAAAGGGATCCAGTCTTTCAGAATATATGTGTCATATGAAAGAGTATCTCTTTTGCCAAAAATTAAAATGCAAATAGCAAAGTGCCAAGTTGAATCTTTGCACATCACAACTGTCAAAAGCACATTGCTCGTAAGCTATATATGGTTTGATGTTGTCACGCTTCTTTCTCTCCCTCTCCATTGGAAATGGCAAATCATTAATTTTTCATAATTAGCCCAATTAATGCATAGCATCTATTCGGTTCACCAAATCCTAATTCATATTTTGGTGCGAGTTCACTAATCCTCACAATTTTTCCATAGTTAGAATTTTTCCATTCAAATCGTGCACTTGTTTTGTTTCTTGCCACCGCTGATAGTTGAAAGTATAAATCAAATAGATTCAATTAATAAATTTTTGGTGGTATTTTTTTTGTCTTATATGTTTTTTGCTGAGCATTCATTCCCGCAGGGAATCAAACTAACCATGGAATTGTAATTTTTTTATCGTTTTCACACAAACGAAGGAAACTTTATGCGGTTTCAACGCCACACACACACACAAGCACACAAAGAGACAGTTCGATTCAACCCTTAGCACTTTGCATACTTGAATGGCAGCGCACATGAACCAGCAATAAAAAAAACGCTGTGAATAGAACTCGAAACCAATCGAAAAAGTTTTATCGTACGTTCAAATTTATGTGGCGCCATGAAAAACATATGCTTTTTTTTCGTCACTTCTTTTTTTTCTGAATATATAATGTTCGCTCAAACAATATGCTCTAAATTGATCCATATACGCAGCATATATCCTAAAATTCAAGCTAATTCAATGCTTAGAAGAAAAAAAAACGGTCAAAGATCAAAAGTAGTAGGTCCAGTATGTGTTTCAACGATTTTTTTTACTGTGCATATAACGAGACAACGACGACTATGATGACGAGAAGAAAAAAACAGATTGAAAATAAAAAGCTACATTCAGTTCCGTGTTGAAGTGTTTGACTAAATTGCTGAAGGACCTTTCAATCAAAAGTATGTTGAAACACTTTCTTGGATGTTATAAAACTGTCACTTTGAAAGTGAAGTGAAACGGAGAAATTTAATGTACGATAATCGTACATTCAATTGAAACAAATTAGATGTTAAGCTAATAAATAAAATGGTTGAAAGCATCTCATGATCATCGCATGTGTTGTTTGAACGAATGCTATGCGGCACGACACATACATACACTTTGACTAATGGAAATTGCAATATCACCATATAGTAATGCAGCGAAAATAGTTAGTGCCTGTTTGGCAATTAAATGTCATTAAAATAAATGGCACTCAGATCATGATAAATGATAACATGTTCACATAAATGTGCAATGTATAAATGCAATTCGTTATATACATTTGGTTATATGTGTATGGTGGATGATGTAAGAGCCAAAAGTTTTGACCCGAAACGGACGCTTTAAGGCGGATAATGAAATTGTTTTCACACTTAACGGTTTTTGTGTATATTTAACACGACCCGCTTTATGACGAAGATAACCTAATCTTAAATTTATGGACGACAGATACATCTACTGAAATTAAAGAATGAATTTATGCAAATGTTCCATCTTCCAAGTGGTGTGTGTGTGTGTATGTATGTCCCTCTCTGTGTGTATTAGAGGTGCCCACTGAACCGAACTGAACAGTTTATGTTCGAAAAATATTATATTTTCATGTTCGTGTTCGTTCGGGTTCGGTTCAAGTTGATCGCAAAAAAAAATATTGCAATTATATTCGTTCACGTTCGGTTTACGTTCGGTTTACGTTCATTTTAACTGTTCAAAACTGTAAACTTCAAAAGATGGTTGTTGGCCCTTGGGAAAATTTAAAAAAATTCAAAGCCTCATTAGATTTTTTTTCCCAAAATATCAATAAAAGTGGCAACCAAATGCAAACTTTAAACACTTTCAACATATTTCAAAATATCTTAATATTTCCCGAATATCAGGTAGTAATTCGTTGAGAGATAAAAAAATTTAGTTTGCATATTGAGGCAATTTAAATAGTTTTTTTTTCTGTTTATTATCACTATTTAAATTCACAATTATCAAATATGAAAAATTTTAGGAACTGAAAGATAAATTTTTATGTTTTTGATAACTAAGCGATTGAAATGATTTTTTTATTCTTATTAGCACAGTTTGTTTTGAATAGAAATCAGAAACTATCCAAAAATAATCAGTTTGAGATTGTCATGGAAGCGCTTTTCATTTATATGAGTGCAATTTTGAATTTATGAACTGAGAGATGAAAATTTTTGTTTTTCGTATTGAAGCGATTTAAATTACGTTATTTTTTTTCATTATCATTATTAAAATTCACACAAATTAAAAAAGAAACAAAAACAACTCAATTTCAAATATTCGTAGAAAAAATTTGATCATATAGTAGCGTAATATATGAGACACATTGAATTCAGAAACCTTCAGATGAAAATGTTTATTTTTTTGTATTTAAGCTATTTCAATAGTTCATTTTGTTTTTATTGGCAATATTTAAATTCACTCAAATTATAAAACTATTAACGACTATTTAATTTTAAATTTTAATTGAACAAATTTTCATCAATATGGTGCCATCGAAGGAGAATTTTTTTATGAAAATGTGTAGTTGAATTGCTTTCCATAGTTTTGTGATTTGTAACTATTTCTATTCTGTTTTTATTCTGGAGAATTCAACTGAACAATTCTCGTTTGTTCAGGTTCGTTCGAAATAAAAAAAATCTGTTCATGTTCATTCGCGTTTAGTTCAAATTGTTCAAAATATGTAAACATGCCGTTCATATTCGGTTCATATTCGGTTCAAATTCGAATGAACCGAACGAACATGAACGGTTCAGTTCAGTGGGCACCTCTAGTGTGTATGTATTGGCCCATTGAACATTTTCATTTACAGTGCACTTTGAAAATATAGAGTTGGAAGAGGTGAGAAACGAGACAAAACGAGAAAGGAAACGCTAGTGTACGACAGAGTGAAAGAGTGTTTCTGTTGCGCTCGATTAAATT